CCCGGACCCTCCTTGATGAGATGCTCCTATGCCCTTCTCCATCACAAAAATTCCCAGTTCCACCCATATTTAAATGTATTTTTCTTTGACATCTTAATACTTGATAGGTGGTTGGGCGGTCAAAATTACATACCATTTCATAGTTTAAAGCAAATACTTCTAATTAGAAAAGTCTCCTCGGAATGTGCAATAAAACGAAAAATCTGCAGAAAATAAACGGTAAATGTATATTACTCACCAAAATTTCAAATTAATGATAGGATAGGAGGGATTTGATATTTTCAAGCAACCAAACTGGTTTAAATCTTGGTCTTTTGATAATGAAATTTAGTGATTGAGCAAGAAACTTCAAGTGAAGAATTTTGCTAGTCCTTAAACAAGTTCATCTCTTGTCTAGTTTTAAATTTGCTGAAAGTTGCCTTTTTAGGTGTAGTCTCTCAAAAATGAAGTTGTCAAATGGATACGGAAGATTTCTTGAAGTATACAGAACTGATTGAAGAAAGTTAATTTAGAAATAGCATGTGCAGAAGGGAATCAACTTACAGGAGTGGAGCATTAAATTTTTAACCTTTCAGAAAAATGAATGAAAAATCCAATTCTTGACTCAGATATGCAGGGTTAATTTTGATCATAGCAAACGTTGGATACCAGAAAGTTTTGATGTGGCCCTCTTCAAAAGAGTCCTACTTTACCGTTCTACTCTACATAACTTGGTCCGATAATTTTTACTTGTAGTACACATTGGAACTGAGGAATGTGTAACAAGCAAATAAAAAATTTTGTATTGACAAGAGTGCTTCATATCGTTGAGGTCTAGCATTGAGCTCTTACGGGTGTTTTGAAGATTACCTTTTCAAAATAGGTTGATAACAGTAACGTACATGAGATTGGGAGTGAAGCAAAAATGTACAAAAGATCATCAAATGAGTCACCAGTAAACTGGAGTAAGTACTTACCTAGTTTAAATCTGTATTTTTTAGCAAGTGTGTTTCAACCTGCTCTATTTGGAGGTTAACAGTATATATTTTAAATTTACTGCCAATAGGGCAACATTTTGATAAATTCAGGTAACTTTCGGGTGATCACTTCAGGATTTAGCCCTTTTGAAGTAAATCAGAACCCTTGCAAAAGTCTATAATTGTTTATAATTTACTAGTTCAATATCATGAAAAAATGAAGAAAAAACTTTCAGCTTTTTTAAATGAATTTTTAGACTCATTTGCAGGGATTCATAACTTTGTTTGTGGAACGTATACAGTTAATCCGTCTTTTTCCATTTAATGAATACAATTTATCCGATAGCCCTTCAACTGCAATTTGGTCATGGGACAGGTAATACAAAAATTTCAAGTCTCTTTACTTTTTTAATGAATGAAAAGTTCAGTCTCTTTCCATACCAGAGGAGGAATCTTTCACGTCTTAAACTGATTTCATCGCTGACAAAACTTGTATTATCTTTTCTTCAGTGCCGTCTTCATTTTCTCCATCGCCGTCAGCAACCTCTTCCCCAAACGCATACAATGGAAATTTGAGTAAGGAAGAGATGAAGCGGCAACAGCACATTTATGAGCTGATCTCAACAGAGCAGGCGTACATTGAAGACATGTCTGTCGTCCATGAAGTGTTTGAGCGACCGCTTGGTGAAAGTAAAGTACTCACTCCAGAGCAGCTCAGTCAAATCTTTGTCAACTGGAGAGACATCATCGTTTGCAACCAAATGTTTCTCAGGTAAAGCTCATTCAGTGCACTTTTATACCACCAGAGGGGCCACCTTTATTTTTGTCAAGAGCCGCTCGGAAGGAGAGCTTATCAGTCACAAATGGGCCAAGTTTCACAGAAATGCACCAAGTCGCATTTTGGAGTAAAAGGAGTCAAGAATAAGCTGAGGAAAATATTTTGAATCTAAGAGCAGTCGTTAAACTTTGTCATTGAGGTTCTATTTGTATGGAGAAACCTTCAAACCTCCTTTTCTGGGTTCAAACTTGATACAACTTGATGCGTTTCTACTTAACTTGATCAAAATAACAATTAAGAGGCTGTATTGATGAATTTTATTGTATTTGATTCAACTTCTCTAGGTTTTCCATTTTCAGAGTTTTTAGCCATGTCTTACTTGTGAGCAGAAAATTTATTGGGAATAAAATACTTTTGAAGCTGATTAATAGTATTTTTTTTTTTTTTTTGAAGAAAAATAAATTTTATTTAAGTGCAACGTAACTACCACAAGTCTTTTCTTGTATCTATCTACATGATTTAAAACTAAACTAATTGCACCAAATTTACTGAATAACGTTAGGTAATAAAATCATTATCTAAAAATCAGGAATTATGAAATTCTCAATTCATAATATGAATGTCATGTTTAAAATGGCTTCATCAATGAAGGTTGACAACGACATTTTTGTGTCAAATGAAGCACGGTGTTCAAGAAAATAATGTATTAATCATAAGTTATTTTTTCTTTGGAAAACTGCCCAATCAACATAATTTCTTGAAAACCTTCTGGATTATTTTCCTCTCTGTCAGCAAAATATTCTGCATAAATTTCAAGTTAGTCGTAATATCGATGTAGGCAGCAAAATCTTGAAAAAACCGACATCCACCTGCAACCAAATTCATTAATTTTCATTGAAAATCATCAGAACACCATGCATATAATTCACTTCTATCTCTTGTTTTTCTTCATAATGCCTAATAAAAATTTCCTAAATGCTTTTTAAAGAATATATTTCAATTACTATGTCATGATTTGATTCACAGAGCCCTACGTATAAGAAGAGAAATGAGTGGTGGTGGTGTCATCCGTATGATTGGAGACATTCTATGTGAACATGTAAGTTTTAGTAAGATAATTCCAGTCACTTCCTAAATTTATATATTGTGAAAAACAATCTTCATATTACCTATGTTCAAGATAACTTTGTAGCTTTAGCAACATTTTTTTGTCACCGCAAGAAGGAGCTTCTAGATTTTGGGAACTTACGAGCTTACTTGGGAAGCTGCATAATAAGCAACACCTTTACTGTCCTAAAAAAATTGTGCATTTTGATTTTAGATTTTTTATATTTTCTTCTCTGACACTAATGACACTATACAAGAGTCATTCAAAAAGTAAGGCTTCCTGTTGTACATCATCCAAGTTAGACCCCGCAATCAAATCAGTGAAAAGATTTGTTCCTGGCATACTTTAAGGTTTAGAACGAGGTACAAATTTTGAAAATTGATTCAGTGGTTCGAGAAAAAACTCAATTTTACTAAGTCCACTACCAGTTGCTGCATTCCTAGGGATTTTAGGGGAACTTCTCCTGCTCCAGAAATCTCCAGCTAAAAGTTTCTTTGAAACTTTAGCATAGAAACAAACATGCACAGATATACAGTAGTCACACACAACTGTTATGTAATGAATTTTAAAGAAAATTACAATGCAGTGAGCAAGTTATTTCAATTCTTTTCCTTGTATTTTCAGTTGCCTCGCATGACGCCATACATCAGGTTTTGCAGCTGTCAGCTGAGTGCTGCAGCTCTGCTTCAACATCTGACAGAGACATCTTTTCAGTTCCAACTTTTGTCGAAGAAGTGCCAAAGTGACCCCAGAACAAAAGGAATGCCTCTCAGTTCTTTCCTCATCAAACCTATGCAGAGAATTACCAAGTACCCGCTACTTATCAAAAAGGTGATCTCCGTAATATGTTTTTCTCCCTGTACTGATATGAGGGGTAAAATAGAATATAGTTTTTATATATGTTTGTGCTTTATTTCACACGTTTCAGTTTTATACTGGCTGAAATTGTGCATTCACCTGTATAAAAATATCTTATTTTGTTTTATTTACTTTTGATGGTATTAATGAAAGCTATCATTATCAGGGATTGTAAGATCTAAAAGCTGGAATTTTGAAACTTAAGGGTTGAAAATTCAAAATTTAAAAATTTAATTTAAAAAATGCGTCTACCACTGGATGCCAATTTCAATCATTATCAATGAATGTATCTTCATAGCAGCTGTTGTGAATGAATATATTGAAGACAAAATTATGCTTTTTTTTGCATTTCTCTTCAAAATCCAATGTCTTTGGTGTTTTTGAGTAAAACATCATTATCATGCCTATATCCAGAAGAGATTAGTAGAAAGTGTTCTGTACTTTTTTCTTGCAGAAGAACTCGCATTTGCAATTTTGAATTTTTGCATTTTTAAAAGTAGAGATTGCACTTAGTTCACAAGAATATTCCCACTTGCCTATCCCATTCCAACAATAATGAGATCAAAGCTGTGTAGGTATTTTGGGATTCCATTTAAGTGCGCAGTGCTGCAAAAGCTAAGATGGCGTCCGGAAATTACTCTCCTTTTGCGGTGGGGGATATTGTTCTCAAGCTTAAATCATTAAGAAAGTCCAGGATAATTCCTGTGAGCTGCACTCCTTATTTTTCAAAAAATGTAAGAATAAAAAAATTGGGGTATCACCTGAAGAGAGAGCCCAGCAAACCCTTCAAAACGAAAAGAAAATGAGAATGAAGACAAAAGTATGAAGAAATAATTAAGGGAAGTTTTGCGTTTCTAATATCACTCATCTTTATACTTGCCTTGTTTTTAGCCTTGTTTAATGATTATTTTATTACTGAATAAGTTCATTATCTATTATCTGGATTGATTTACTTACCCTCCTACAAAGTCAAGTTTTATTACGTATTCTTAATTGACTGTAGTATCTTCATTATTAATTCTAAATAAACCAAATAATCTATTTCAGATAACCGAGTACACACCATTTGACCATCCAGACAGACAATATCTTGAAGAGGCCTTAACAAAAGCTGAAGAATTCTGTACTCAGGTAAAAAGTCAGTTTTCTTATCAAGAGGGAGTGTGCTATTCCTCAATTCTTATATCTTCAGTTCACAAACAACTTCACATGAAAGATTCAATGCTCGAATATTTAAAAAAGTGAAACATTTCTAATTACTTGTTGCTCAGCATAATTATCTTTGGTAGAAAATATATATAGGTGTGGCAGGTAAACAACAATTTATGCTGCTTTTTACTACATTTTTGTATTTAACAATTGGTTCCCTTATTTTTTCCCCTTTTTTCAGTTCTTTTGTTATAAAATCATGTTTTGTTTATCTTTTGTAGGTAAATAATGGTGTGAAGGAAAAAGAAAACTCAGACAGGTTAGAGTGGCTCCAAAATCACGTCCAGTGTGAAGGATTGCCAGAAAGATTAGTTTTTAACTCACTAACAAATTCAATGGGACCTCGCAAGTTCATTTTACATGGTGTTTTTACGAAGGTAAGATTAATTTGCTGAGCTTCATCTGCAGAGCTCATTCATAGTTTTTCAGATTTTTCTCCTGTAATCTTTGGAGTTTTCTCATGTTCCTTTTTGTTGCCAGAGTTTGATACTTCTTCTTTTAAGTTTAAAATACGCTTTGAACTGTTCAACCATATTTTGGAAAGAAATGCCTTTCAAGCAAGTTAGGTCCATTGAATAAATCAATGAATTTTAACCTAAGTAAAGGGTCAGCTGTGAATGTTACAAAATCATGTTTGATTGTCTAACCTTTTCCGATTAGCAGGTAGTAAGATTTGTGCAAACAGAAAGTTTCTACGTCCAATATTAAAAGTTACATTGGCCTTCAAAAAACTCTGTAAATAGCATCATCTACCTTAAAATTTTACCCTTACCTATTTTTTCCTTCTTTAAATTTTATGTCTATAGAGGGAAGAAAACAAATCGGCTGTTGTATTCCTTGACAGGCGCAACTAATCTATTTCATACTTTCTGAAAATTATTTGAGGCTCAATAAGACAGTGTCAAATACAAAACATCAATGGTGAAACTACAAGAATATATATCTCAGAAAACTTGATTTTTCAGGAGAGCACAACAAATTTCTACGTTCCGTATTTTTAATCGCAGGGCGGTAACAATTTTATCAAATAACAAACAAAAATATGCTCTTCAACACTCTCGAAATTATTTTTTGAATTTACAAGTGTAAAAAGCTAGATTCATTTTTTCCTAATTACGCTTCAACATTGTTTCTTGAGGTATGTGAATTTAGAAGTAAGGCTCTGAGGCAGTTTTTTGCCTAACTCAATCAAATAAAGACCAAAAAACCCTTATTGTGGCTCTAATTCTAGCGAATTACACCTGAAGCGTTCGTGTAGTGTAAGCAGCGCTTGGACGGCAGTATGAGTAACTATAAGTGACTTGAAACTTTGTTCAATCACTTTGAACATCAGTTATTGTTGTAGTCTTTAGAATCACACAGTATGTAGTCAGCACAAGACACGAATCAGCACTCAGATACACTATAATTTAATTATGTTTAATCAAATATTTTAGTGGTGGACAAAGACTTTTCTTGCAGTTCATTGATGCAGCTAACTCAGAACTGCCAAATACTGAGCTAAAAAGTTTGATAGTCACTATCGATGTGTAATTTTTAATGTTTTCCAAATGCTTGGTTTCTTACCATACCAAACTCGTTGTTTTAACATTCTTCTCAAACAATTATTTGTATTCGAATGTTGCAGACCAAAAGCGGGAAGGAGCTAGTTGCATTTCTTCTGAATGACATGATTCTGCTGGCCCAGCATGTCTCAGGGAAACCCTTAAATCGGCAATTTTCGTTTGATCGGCATTCCTCTGCTGTCTTTAAAATTTATAAGCATGTAAGTAAGAAGCAAAGAAAAATTAAGAAGTAATTGTATTAGCGTACAAAACCTGTAGTTATTAAAACTTATGTTTGATTTTTCTAATTTGATGGAAGAAAGGATCAAAGACCACTATTGTATTTTTAATTAAAGTCCACATAGGTTTTCACCGGACAAGATAATAAGTTGTGAAACAAATCCTCTTTAAAACCTGCCATTTATGACTTGTAAATTTCTCAGAAATGGCTTTTCAAGAACGATAATTTTGAATTCAAACTTTTAGTGTCCTCCTTCTATTCTTTCAAAATTTTTGCTCATATTTTGTTTTTTTGAAGAAGAACGATCAAACCTCATAGCTTGAAATTTGGACAGAATTTTTTGCCAATAGAAAATGAATCAAGGAAATTCTTAAGAATTACATCAAAGAGTTTAACAAAAATAAAGTACGCAATGGTGCAAATAGAGACTCACAGTTTCTCACTTTGGCCGTCGATATGGATGGCAGTATTGAGATTGAAGTGCCTAATTCTTAAACATTCTAAGCATTCCTTGCAAAAACAAGTAGTCGCAAGCTCATATGTGTAAAGCTCATGGTTCAATCTCTAGACTCATTTTCAACACTCATCAACTCCATTTTAATGAAAGATTATTCAACATGCAGAAAATTACTAGTAATGGCTAAAAAATGCATTAAATCACTCAAAACTCTGTCTCTGTTGCATTTTTGTAGCCACTTAGTTTTTCTCACCAAATAGGGAACCAGGAGATAACCCCTGAGTTAAAATGATGTACTGAGAGTTGATATGTCGCTCAAAGTCTACTAATACCTTGTTTCAAATTAAACACCCCAATTTTTCCTGATATGCATTTTTGTGTTGGTTTACAGCCTTTACTATTAAGCGAAATCAAAGTTCTGAGTAACAGCTCTGAAGCAGAAACCTCAGAGTTGAGGCTGGAATACAATAAAGCTGTCATTTCAATGAATGCATCCTCAGTCAATGAACGCAACCTTTGGCTCAAAAAAATAATGGAAGCCAAGAAAGAACTAGCTGCTGGTGAAAAAACTCAGCAGGAACAGCAAGAAATCAGTAAGTTTGCTCTGATCCTCAAAAAATGTAATTACTCTGAGACATTTGATGTAAATTTTACCATGTCTCTATCTTTTATCAAACTCTACTTCTTTTGGTGCGTATCCGATGTACACTGCCTATCGCGATCATTAAAATCCCTGACAGATACATTTATTAAATCCCGAAAGAGCTTATGGGAAACTATGAAGGGCTGGTTGTGACTTCTGTTGAGCCTGTCAAAAAGTTACTAATGCTCCAATCGTTCAGGTCGATACACTTTTGCAAATCTCTGTTGTTTCAGATTTTTAATTTGAAGATAAACAGGTTGTGCTATTTTATTTCTTTTGAGAGCTTTATAACTAGGCATTGAAATCATGACTCTTTTTAAATCAGTCAAAATTTTGCTGGATCCTCTATCTGCTCTGAGAAAAAAAGAACACCTGATCCATTGAAGAAAGGAGTTTTTCAACACCTGCGCCTACCCTCATTTAATGCTGTGCCCAACCCATCATTCTTAAAGTCCCTAATACAGACTCAGATATCCCCTACCTGCAGATTCTATCAATATATATTTATTGTTTGGCGCATTTGCTCTTTTAAATTTCTTACCTAAACGATTCTACGGTTTGCTTCTTCTCAATCTCAAGGGCAATGAAAGGTAGTTATTTTTAGCTTACTTTTATTTCGAAGATGATTTTTTTAAAACTGATTAATCAAAAGCTCACGAGTCAACAAATGAAAAACACTTAGATATTAGGGGAAACATCACTCAAAATATTTATGTAATGCTTTGCTCAATACATACTATCTCCCCCCCTTTTTTCTAAAGCTGGCAGGTAGTGTTGAGTAATTTTAAGATGGCGCTTTAGGAAATATAGAGTCAAGTGGAAGTATTGGTTTTTCAATGTCATCACCAATGTGTTTTTTTTCCCCCACAGAGAAAGCTAAATTTGGTGCTGTCGGAAGACTTTTGATTGTTGTGCAGGAAGGCTCTAAACTTAAACTTTCTCCGAATGGTAATTCTCCTAATTTCTTCTCATGTTCTGTAGCCCTACAACTTTTCAGGCAAAATCTTACTCGTTTTGTAGGAAAAATAATGTAGTGACCGTTTCTTTTGATGGCAAACTGCAAAAATCGAAACTTGCTTCTTTCAATTTCTAATTAATCAATCTTCTTAAATCTTCGCATATGTAAAAGAGAAATTGGCGTTTTTAAATACGAGCAGAATACTTAATCTCAACCAGAAGCCTTGGTCTTCATCTTCCATTACAAATTCTAGTACAATGAGTTTTTGACCCTGCGGCCGTTTTGAAAATGAAATTGTCCATTTAAGAATGTAACCCATTTAGGGAGACTTAAATGGGAGGGTACTTTTTGCCTTTTGAAGACCAAAACTCTTCAAGCCTGAACTAATGTGCTATTTGTCCTGAAAACATGAACGCTGTTTTTGCACCATTGATGCAAAGTACTTTGTTTTTGCTGACATTGTAATGGATTGCTCAAAAATCAGCTTCTGCACCAAAAATGAAAAGGACTGTGACAAATTAATTTAAAATATTCTATCATAAATGTTCAGGTTGTCACATTATACTGTATCCTATTTCATTAATATCGACGGCTAAAGTGCGAGACCTTGTATTTACGTTTGCAGTGTTTCAGACTTCCGATCATGTTTTATTTTTCCCTTGGAAAACTAGTCAACGTAATTTCTTGAAAACCTCCTGGATTTATTTTGTCTGTTATTAAATATTCCATATAAATTTCAAGCTATAAAGTTAACTTATTCCCTTTCAAAAAAGTAAAGTAGAAGGGAAGATTTTGAAACACCACACTGGAGATACATGGTGTCGCACTTTAGCCATGGATGTATCTTCCGCCCCTTTGCTGTCTCATTTCTCTCAAAATTTGGTATCACAGTTCATGTGTAACGGACTTTGACTTTGTCTCCACGTAAAATTTCCAGGAAAAAGGGCTGCGTTCTGCGAAGTGAGCATGGGATCACAGCACCATCGGACACCAGTTGTCTCAAACACAGGAGGTGATATTAAGTGGAACACATCGATGCAATTCCTCGTTAAAGACTTGAACGAAGCTGTGTTGTGTGTTACTGTCATGGACAAAGGCTACTTTTCCCCTGATGGTAAATCTTCATGGTTCTTTATTTATACAATTTTCTAAACAATCGAGAAATCCACGGATAGAAATAGTAGGTTATTTCAGTAACACTTTTCAATGGGTTCCAATTTCATTCAGCATTGAAAGATTTTATGTCATCAAGACGTACATGCCAAATACCTATGTTGATAAAACAGCCCTAACTTGCGAAACATCAATATTCTGAGCACTCTGAGTTCAACTGTTGCTGTGTTTCATTTAGCCTCCTCAAATAGGACTGAAGACATGGTAAATACCTTCAGTTGACTTAACTTTGTTGGTGTCTCTTAACAGTGCGGATCACAATGTGAAGAAGGGGTTTGTTGCATAAAAGGTATCAATCTATCATCCATTGATTTTTAAAACGAAAGTAATTTTGTCAGTGGTATCAGTCCTACGTATAATTTTTACCTTGTCTGTAAAGCATAGGAGTCTAATCATCGAATTCCTTGTTTCCAGAATTTTTGGGAAGAACAGAACTACCAGTGATAGAAGTTTACCGCTCAACCCAAGGGACGCCAGGTCCAGTGGTGAAAAAATTGCGGTTGCGGGAAGTGGAGACGGGTGAAGTCTCTTTGAAGCTGGACGTTCTCTTGTTTGAATCACACTCTATGGAGTTGCGATAACGTTGTCAAGTCAGTTGTTGCTCATGAATAATTTACTTATTACGAAAAATGAAAAATCGCAACAAGTAAAAGTTTATTGATAAAAAAAATCTGTGAAAATTGAAGTAAAGTGAATGGGAAATTGCAACTCATTGAGTTGAAAGTGCTGCTCTTTGAAGAAACAACATCCATTGGGAAATTAAAAGATTTTTAAAAGGCACTTTGTAAGAAAGTTCCTGTAGGCAACTCTTAGAGTATGCTCATCCTCGATTAGAGTATAATTTTCCTTTTTTTTTCCCAGAGCCGTTAAACATTTTCTTTAAATTACAGTATTAATTTTGTGTGATGTTTTAATTTTGTAAGATTTTTGTATGGCATTCCATGGAATTGAAGCATTTTGTGATGCCAGCAGGTAATTAATACTTCTGTCTTTAAGATGAACAAACAAGAATCAGTATTTTAAAATATATTTAAGTCTTCCTTCTTTTTTTTCTGGTTGTTATGAGCATATTATTTCCTGTTTTCTGTGTTACCTACATGTTTTTTTAAATTTGATGCAATTTCATCTTTCCCCTGTGCTGCTATTAGAATATGTTCGATTGTAGATTGTAAGTCAGACCAAAAAGTTAGGTAAATGTACAAAGTAAGGATATCAAGGAATTTTATTCTGTAAATTTTTTCAAGACGTCAGCATATTTATGCTTAGCTTTGCATTTAATTTGTCCCTCCAGAGTTATGATCAAATCATTAGGTATTGTAACTATTTTTTTCATTTTTTTCCTTCTACCCACCGTTTATCAAGCCGCCAGGCCTTCACCTGGTATATTAAGCACTGTGCCTAACTCATAGGCCCATCGACTGCTTTTTTTATGTTTTAGTGTAAAAAAAATACAACGAAAGGGATCTTTATTAAATGCTAATCTCAAGCTGCTCCAAATCTCTCTAGCGATACTTTCATAACTATACTGGAACGAGGTCTCTGGTATCAAGTAATTTCAAGCCAAAATTTGCCAATTTTCCTTTGTTTTATAGTTCATCCAAATCTAAGTTTAAGCATTATTTATAATTTTATTTTTGTCAGCAGCTACACATGAGTTGTTGAACCCAAAAATGTCCATCATATAGTACCAGATGGCCAAGAGATGACAGAATGAGTGTTGTTAAACACTAAAGGATTTACCCGTTTTCCAAGATGGCTGCCAACGATCTGGAGATTTTGGGTTCTTGGCCAGGAGCTGGAATACTGATTTGTTATTGTATATATTTATGTCGACGTCAGAACATTGTATTGGTCAGCGAGACAAACTGGGTACCTAATTGAGGGCAGTCATTTTTGTCGGCAACTTTGTTGGGTTCAACAACGCATCTTATATGAGGCCTTTATCACTAGGTGCCACAAATAATAATTGAGTACTATTTGTATGTATCATTATTCAATGATCAATTTTTGTTCCTTTGAAAAAGTTAATTTTATCATCGTAGAAGTATCCTCTAATGATTGCAATGTTAAGTTTCATGAATTTCTGGTGATAAAAAAGTAGCTACATTGTTTTTGTTATCTGTTGGGCTTTTTGTTGGCTGCTGCCTCCAAATTTTGTGAAAGAACCTGTGTCTATCGTTTTTTGACAGGAGTTATCATATCATATTTGTTGCGAATGTATTATTTACACGAAAAGACTTTTTATATTTTATTGAAGATTCAATTTTTGTTTCTTTGTTTTAGACAACAACAGTTTATTAATAATAGCCCTAACTCAAAGTTTACTTCCACCAAGGATTTAATTTATCACTACCTAGAGGTAGGCAATGTTGTAAACATTTATGTTCATAACTAAGTTTATTAAACAACAGAAAGATGCTTTGGCGACCACAAAAAGAGTTTTTGCCTCATTTTGATACAAACTTACGAGTCAATAGAGGGGATCCTGCCGCTTTGGAGAAGGATGCTCTTTGCTCATGGCTTGAAATATAATGTTTAACTCTTTTAATATCCTAGTTCCTCGATCCATCCTCACCAGGAGCCTAACCCCACCAACCTCTACCCCTCCCCCTAAATTCTTCAATGCACGTTGTCTTTTAGGAACTGTTCATAGAAGTTAATAACTTAAATTGTATAAAAATTCAACTCCTGAATGTTTACATTTCAGTGCACATCATTTCCAACGGAAACATGACTTCATACATTCAGTGATAGAAAAGTCAGAGACTCTTCTATACACTTTGCTTATCATGACAACATTTAGTACCTGTGCTGTTTACCTTATGAACTTCTATTTTTTGTTGAAATGGTGAAAATATTAATTAAAACCTGTCAATCCATTAAAGCAAATTGCTTTAGAATTGATAAGACTTTCTTTTTTATATTCCACCCTCTATGTGCTGCATTAAAAGCTCTCTGCTAAAACAAGAGCCTCAATGCTGCATTGAAAAATATCATCTGACAAGGCTGTGATAGCTTGGGAGCAGTCGAATACTTTGCAAATTTCATGGTGAGAGTAAATGCATTGATACTTTCAAAGGCGCTCTATTTATGTGTGCCAACTTTTTGGTGTTTTTAATACACCTCTCTAACGCTCTACAGCTCTTTGAAATGTACCTTGTGAATAAGGTTAATGAGCATGAACTACTTGCACAAATGCATGCTCTTTCGTCTCCTCTCGATTTGAAGACGATTCAAAGCCTCTGGTCGTGAGTAAATTACAGATCGGTTATCTCGACCCATTTTGAGAATAATTAAGGAAAGGTGGAGATAAATTATGGTCTATTGTTCTCTGCAACCAACGGTTTATATGATATGTTCAATCTTTTGTCCAAAAATGAATCCATTTTTATGGCACAGAAAAGTTTGATCAACAACAAAATTTCGAAAACTTCTATTGAGACTGAAGGATCCCTGAGCTCATAGGCCTGGGGGGAGAGGGTAGCACAGGTAAACCTAGAAGGCCAAAAAATTTCCTCTGTTTTGCTCTTAGACCAACAGTTAAGGAGATTTTCGCCATTTCCTGTTGCAAAAATGGATCAAAATTTTTTAAAATTAAATTCAATCCTCAGGGTACCAAACTCACTGGGCTTGGAGGGAATGCAAAAATAGGCGCAGCAGTTCAAGAGGGCTGCAATTTGGTCTCTTTTACTCTTGGGCCAATGGTTTATGAGTTGTTCCTAATTTTGTATTTTCTGGAAAAGTGTATCTTGTTAAGTCACCGAACAAAGAATAAAAATATTGAATGTGATTCTTTGAGGTAAAAATGGGAATAAAAATATCAAAATGGATAACTTGCAGTAATAATTACTATTTTATTGCAAAAATAAAAACAAATTATCCTACAACTTCGGTGAATTATGTTAAATTTTTCGTGGAAAGGATACTTCCTAGAATTAGATGTTGAGTGCTAAAACAATTCCTCTTTAAAGAACCGGGCTTTGTATTCTACATATGAGGAAAGCAAGATAAATTCACTATGGTCAGTCACTGCACATCTTCTGCAATCCAGTCCTCACTCAACAACAGCCAGGGTGACATAGAAAATACTTTGCATTTAAACTTCCCACTGCCGATACGCAGTAGGATCTCAAAACTCGTTCGCAGAAATAATTTACTTGTATGGATTGACCTTGCGGGGAAGTGATTCTCACTGTCAAAATAATTGGATTAGCAGGTATGGGATCTTGAATGGACACTCAACAAATTATTTAATTCGCTAAAATCTGAACTGTCAGACTTATAGACCCTCAGCTTTATCCTTGCTTGAGGGTTCTTTCTTTAAAGCAAAAGGGCTTTTTCTCATTTCCTATTTTGAATATTCTGGTAACAATCCAAATCAAAGTCTTATTCAATAAACAAAAAATATTGGGGAAAAACCCATTTTGATAATTGGGCACCGGAAAAAGAAGAAAAAAATTCTTAAATTACAAACCTCCCCTTGTACCAAAGGAGTCAATGGCAAATGTCACAAAACGATACTTTGAAATGGGTGAGCAAGCGTAGACATTTTAATAAATTTTGAGATCCTTCCATTTCTTAATTTCAAAGATAATTTCCTGACAAACCCAAATTTTTTGAATGGTAGAAAACATTAACTTTTTCCAGTTTTATGGGGCTTTGCAGCTTTTCTGCACGGTCAAAAGCAGCATACTAAACCATCAAAATTCTCTATTGAGTTTTTGTCACATCTCAAGGAAAAAGCTACCTAACTCAATAATCACATCATGGGCTGTTTGCACTAGTTTGCACTGACAGACAACCTTTTACTCCTATGTTTGATGACTAATACCCAAAGATCCGAACGTCTCGCAGAATTTAAAATCAATACAATGTTTAAAATATCAAATTCTTGCAAAGCAAATTAATGGAGAAAATTTAATTTAGAAAGCACCAGGGACAACACTGTTTACTTTTTATCTTTTTCAAAGTGGTATAAATTAGTACTACTTGCTCAACCATTTCAAACCAATCAAAATGGTAGAAACCATGACATACTTCACTTTTTAAAACAACAAGCTTTGTTTTAAACTGATCGATAACTGATCATGGTAAGATAACGATCATGACATGATTCTAGGACACTGAAACTGATCCATTTATGTTCAGATATTTTAAAATTAAAGTTTAATCAGGACTCACCTGGGTGATTCATAAATTACAAAACAATAAAATGGTTTTTATAGAGAAAAAAGTTTTCATGACACTCCGTAACAATGTGCTGGGCCTAAAAATTATGGGATACTGGTATCTGATTGCTATCCCTCTTCCCAACTTTTAAATACTACAGAAAAAAGAACAGCAACTAAGTAAGCTATAAAAAGGTGAAATTGAAAAAAAAAATCAAAGTGAAAACATCAGACAGGTCATAAATCCTTAACGTATTCTCTATATTATTCATAAAAAATATTTTTAACTTTCTGGCATTGTTAGGCAATTTTTTCTTCATTGTCTGCAACTAAGTTTGCAGAGACATGTATGTAATAAAACCCTATCAAAATGAAAAAACAATCTTGTAAGTTGTTATCAATTTTTCTCAAATTATTGCAGTCTTTCTAAAGCATTTCTTATGAAAATGATGTAAATAAAACTAGTTTATATAGAAAACGGCAAAGAAAAAATTCTTTGAAGACTGAAAATAATAAACGGAGAAAGCTAAAAGATGTTTACAAGATTATTTATTTAATTAGGTAAGATTTTCTTGCAGTGGCAAGATTTCTTGCATTTTTTTGGTTTCCTCAAACCTTGCTGGGTACTACAGATTGAAAAAAATGCGCTTGCGAGCAAAACAAATTTGAAGATGTTTGAAGAATGATTTGCAAGGACTGTGCACTCGTACAATAATGTCAGAATTTTCTGATGTGTTCAATATGATTTTTGCATGATTTCACCTAGGGAGAGACCACTCAGTTTGTTGAGTCTCTTGTGTGTGACAAACCTATTTGCCGAGTAGGTCACTGTTTTTCTGAAGGGTGGAAAAAAAGGTATTGCCTATTTGTAAAGAAAAAAAGGTAGAAAAATTCTATAGTTTCTCCGATAATTTTTTCAAATTGTACAAAATTAAAAAATATATATTGCTACACAATTTTTTGCTGGATACTTTCCCCATCCTTAATAAAGCTGCTCTAAATTAGGAGAGACACTCGTCCACTCCCTGAAGCTTACCGTAGGTTACTGACAGCCGTATGAGGGTAGTCCGATAACACTTCAAAGAAACAGGAGGAAAATAGAAATAACTAAAGAAACATAGGTGACTAGATCCATGGATGAAAGTAGAAATTAACTATAGAGAAAAAATGAGAGTTCGATATGTAGTATCTCAGATGCGGTAGTTGGGGTATCGAACTATCAGTAATAATAACTTGTACTCTATCTGTGTGTACTGTGATAGAATAACATTCAAGACTTGTTTTTGCCCTTCAGCACAATTTGCTGAACTTTCATAGTTAACTTTTAAAACGTGAATCTTTTTGAGCAAATAAAAATTGTTCATAATCTAATACTTGTTCAAGATAAAGCTTAATAATTGATTGTATCTCATCAGCGCTGAGATTTATATAATATGAAAGACAAGATTGTTCAAAATTAACTACATTAAACAACAAAAAAAAAGTTAGGTGCTGCACATATAGCATGCAATATATCTCTGCTGAATTCCCTACATCATAAAAAACTACATGGTTTAGGAGCTATAGTCCGCGCCACAAAAAGTGGCGGGTGAGGGGCAGAGCCAGTTGGCCGGTCCAGTCTATTGTTGAAGGGTTGAAGCGCAGGTATTGGCCCATAGTTGAGACAGGGTAACGACTGGGCCAACACCTGCGCTTCAACCCTTCAATGATAGACTGAACCGGCCGACTGGCTCCGCCCCTCACCCGCCAATTTTTGTGGCGCGGACTATAATGTCAGGTGGCTGTATAATTGCAGCAAAGATTAGCTTTGTGGAGCTAAAAATGAAGCGCTAATTCCACTCAAGCCAATCGTTCCTGGTAGTTTTCCAAAAAGTATTACCACTCCAGATCTTCATTCTATTTTGTAGAGGAAGAAAAATAAGTCTTCTCTTCAATATACAATGCAAATGCCACAGAGCTTTAATGATCAGGCGATTTCTAGAGGTTCAAACTACAACACATGCTCATTTTGAACTTGTTCAAAATTGCGCTCTTAGTATGATTTCTAGTTTATCCACGTTTCAGCGAACACATGTGATGCAGTTTACCAACTATCTGTGTGTTTTCTTTTTAATTTTCAGCTTTCAAAATGTTTCAAAAGAATCTCAGTTTTTACCTCAAGTCTCAGAAACGCTAAATAATTGACGTAATAGTAAACGTTAAAACTCTGGGAAAAAAGTAAGAAAAGCTGTGATGAATGTTTGTCAGATAATCAAGGCTCTGCAGTGCCTAACTTAAAACCCCAAAACATTGCCTCAAAACATTGGAGGAAGAGAAGCTTGTGAGGAATTAAGCACAGTCTTTTGAACCCTCTTTTCACTAAGCCCTTTTCTCGCAAAAACATGCATGTGCTTAGGAAGAGGGTGGTAGGCAAACGTAGAACTAATTCTTAGTATTCTATGTATTACGTTATCAACTTGCTGGGAGATCAAGTGAGGGTCTGAAACCGATGAATTGCCATCTCCGTTCCATGTTAGCACCAATTCCGACGAGCTCTTGCAGGAAAATGGATGGGAAACGGTTCATCAGAGTTTCGATCTCGTTTGGTTTCAGAGTTGGCTCTAGCTTTTGCACGAAAGACCAAATGTAATCAACCCCTGCACCAAACGGATGAATGTGAAGGAACATGGATATAAGACCTGTTAGAAAAAAACACCGTAAAAATTAGTACAGGGTCAGCTAGAAAAAACTGAACTCTCCTGCAGAAAAGAGTGGTCATAAATACCGATTAAAAATTGTGTCAAGGATCGTAACCAAGTACAGTAAAAAGGCTTTGGTGCATTTAAAAAGAATTTTTAGAATATGTATTGATTTGTTGGAATTTGAATATTCAGAAGGAAACACTCTCAATATTTGAATAAAATTTGCGGATGATTTACTTCATTTTTTGTGCTGAAAAAGGCTGTTCAATTACATTATAATCCAAAAAAGGGTATCCCTGGGTAAGAGCACCAAAATGCCCCTCCTCACGGATTTTGAATTTAATGGTCTAAACCCTTTCAGGAGGTCCTAAAAACATGGTTTTGGGCAATTTTACCCTCCTGATCCCAACCACCCCCCCTCCAGCCCCGAAAAACCCATTTTTCGAGGAATTTCGGGGTATTTTCACGCTTTATTTCGTATCTACCACAATTTTCGATGAAAATGCACCAAAATTTCACCAATTACACATCAGACCAGTCAGATTCTTGGGTAAAAAAATCCAATTTATCGTACCTTATTTAGACCCCTAAAAAAATTCGCAAAAATCGTCAATTTCCAATTTTTTTCAGATTTCAGCGGTTTTAAAAAAAATGAGGACACATACATTTTTTATTTTTGTCTTAAAATGTAGGTAATATACCCAGTTGTTACCAATAAAAATTTCAAGCCTTCTCGCGTGGTGCGTCCCACCGAAAAAATGGTTTTTTTGGCGCCAAAACGGTTAAAATGGCTCTTTTGGCAACGGTTTACTCGCACGCTATCAAGATAGTAACACTAAAATCTCTAATTTTTGGTTTCAATGTTTCAAGAAGCATGCCCTAGTATCGTCAGAAAAGGTTTCAAGTCGATCGAGTCCTTGCGCCCCACGTAAAGTACCGGTTTTTGGCGCCAAAANCTGAACCGGCCGACTGGCTCCGCCCCTCACCCGCCAATTTTTGTGGCGCGGACTATAATGTCAGGTGGCTGTATAATTGCAGCAAAGATTAGCTTTGTGGAGCTAAAAATGAAGCGCTAATTCCACTCAAGCCAATCGTTACTGGTAGTTTCCCAAAAAGTATTACCACTCCAGATCTTCATTCTATTTTGTAGAGGAAGAAAAATAAGTCTTCTCTTCAATATACAATGCAAATGCCACAGAGCTTTAATGATCAGGCGATTTCTAGAGGTTCAAACTACAACACATGCTCATTTTGAACTTGTTCAAAATTGCGCTCTTAGTATGATTTCTAGTTTATCCACGTTTCAGCGAACACATGTGATGCAGTTTACCAACTATCTGTGTGTTTTCTTTTTAATTTTCAGCTTTCAAAATGTTTCAAAAGAATCTCAGTTTTTACCTCAAGTCTCAGAAACGCTAAATAATTGACGTAATAGTAAACGTTAAAACTCTGGGAAAAAAGTAAGAAAAGCTGTGATGAATGTTTGTCAGATAATCAAGGCTCTGCAGTGCCTAACTTAAAACCCCAAAACATTGCCTCAAAACATTGGAGGAAGAGAAGCTTGTGAGGAATTAAGCACAGTCTTTTGAACCCTCTTTTCACTAAGCCCTTTTCTCGCAAAAACATGCATGTGCTTAGGAAGAGGGTGGTAGGCAAACGTAGAACTAATTCTTAGTATTCTATGTATTACGTTATCAACTTGCTGGGAGATCAAGTGAGGGTCTGAAACCGATGAATTGCCATCTCCGTTCCATGTTAGCACCAATTCCGACGAGCTCTTGCAGGAAAATGGATGGGAAACGGTTCATCAGAGTTTCGATCTCGTTTGGTTTCAGAGTTGGCTCTAGCTTTTGCACGAAAGACCAAATGTAATCAACCCCTGCACCAAACGGATGAATGTGAAGGAACATGGATATAAGACCTGTTAGAAAAAAACACCGTAAAAATTAGTACAGGGTCAGCTAGAAAAAACTGAACTCTCCTGCAGAAAAGAGTGGTCATAAATACCGATTAAAAATTGTGTCAAGGATCGTAACCAAGTACAGTAAAAAGGCTTTGGTGCATTTAAAAAGAATTTTTAGAATATGTATTGATTTGTTGGAATTTGAATATTCAGAAGGAAACACTCTCAATATTTGAATAAAATTTGCGGATGATTTACTTCATTTTTTGTGCTGAAAAAGGCTGTTCAATTACATTATAATCCAAAAAATTTGGGACCCAAACATGACTGATAAAAACTTTGAATACTTTTTCTCATAGGGAGGTAAGGGTAAGGTGTTCGAGGGATCCATCAACGCACCTATCAATTTGGCATCTCGTTCTAAAATTTTATTCGTGGATGGGCAAGTTATGTTGGCAGAAGAATCTGCTTCTCGATCTTCAGATTTCTCTGGAGCGTTTTGTTCGGTTTCGGCGCCATCTTGGGAGCTTAGACGCACCTCCAACTCTTTCACTTTGGTTTCTCTCTGCATTAGTTCCAGCTTGGATTCTAATAATTGCTGTGCGGACAAGAAACAAAACGAAAATGACAAGATAAAATGAGGAAACTGAAAACAAATAGATCATACAAGCTTGCAAACATTCAGAAGAAGATTAGTATTTTTAAGCCAAAATATTTGTAAAATAATCCTCTAAACAGTGGTGCAAATATCCTAATTTCGAGTATTTGGCATAAAAGTCTCTTTATCCATGCACAGTCACATGTGATTTAACATTTTGTGTTTTCATCATCAGGGGTTATGGTCTCAGCAAATGTTGTAAACAATCTACTTGGTTGCAGGAAACTGGAAGGAAACAATGCCCCCTTGTTTACCCCTTCTCTGAGTTTTAACAATGAATATAATTAGAACAAAATTCACAGAGACTTTGCACTCTGCCCAGCTGCAAAAACATCTTCCGTTTTCTAGACCCCTCAAATTATTTATAAAGCATACGTAATTGAGGTGCTAGGTGCTAGAAAGGTACTTCTTGGTTGCAGTATTTCTGCATCTCTGCTTATATTTAATTCATGGTAAGAAAAGTGAAAGCATACATTTCACTGAAATTGTTCCTGAGTATTTTTCATATAAAAATTTTCTGCAGAAAAAGTTCCTGAAAAATCATCCGTTAGAGTTTTCTCCAAGACATAAATTAGCAATCAAGATTCTGAAATCCTGCAACTGAGAATTGCCCTTCTCGCACCCAGTACCTCAATTATAATCTTTTTCAGAGTCTGCCGTCCTCAGAAAAAACTCTGTATCTCCATTCTGGGTGTTTTCAGCTTTTCACTGACAAAGTGTCTTGCTGCAAAAAAACTAACAGCCCTTTATCCTTTGTATTTCTAGAATAACTGTGGCATACCATTGAGAATTCAAAATTACAAAATGAAACATCATAGTGATCAGGATTTCTCACAATAGAGCAGCATGTGTGGAAGAAAATTGCAAAGTCTTGATAGGAGTTGCGGCATTTTTCTTGCCACAGAAGTGTGCTTTCATTTTGGGTATTCTTTGAAGTAAACAGTGAGTTTAAAAACAAGAGAATCGGATAGGTAAAGAGAAAAACTGTGAAAATACCTGCTGCATCGCTTTCAAAGTTTGTTGGGCAATCCTCAGCTCTTTCTCTTTGTTTTGAAATTCTTGTTGGTGATCAACGCGAATTAAGTCAATTTCATTTTTGTAAGCTTCTAGCTGGCAACGTAAACTGTCATTTTCCTCCTATGAATAATTCAAATTATTATACATCAATGGACAGAAGTTGGTCTTGATGGGGTTAATCTTGCTTTCTTTAGTTACACTTACACTCATTGAATTTTTGTAGAACAAATTGTCGACTAGTACTTACGTTTTGGATTGCTCTCATAGGAATTGTTTTTTTTTTTTTTCCTATCATGCAACGGCTATTATAACCTGGAAATGCATTGCCAATTGATAATGGGACACATTCATTTCCTAGAGGTACGAAGTAAAGCAGGCTTCTAGAAATTAGAATTTGTAACCTATCATGGCGAAAAAAAAACCCTATTATGAATATGCCAAAATAGAGACCCATTTGAAACGATATTTTTGGCAGGCTCTGATGACAGAGCTAGGCGTTTGCTGATTGCCTGAAGTCAGCTTCAGGCATCGCCTTGCTATGTCAACTCGACTGTCAGCTTTTAATTGGTTGGATTTTGATTAGCCTCTTCTCCCCTCAGAAATGAAGTTTTGAAATTTTTGGTTTTATCAATAAATTTTACCCAGGATGGACTATAATACAACCCTGCAAAAATTCCTTGCCACTACCCTATTACACAGTGGGTGAGTTTCAACAGTTAACGTGGTAATTTTTCTTTTTAACACAAATGACACACACACACTTTTAGTGGCATTTATTTCTCAATTTCTCCTATTTGTTGCTTTTGATTGGAAAATACCTTCATGGCGTAAATGCAGGTCTAGGAGAATGATATTCTTTGACCGTTTAGCATCATTTATTCATTCTTATCTTTTTACTTTCTCTATTACGTAATACGTATTAATTTGTAAATAAATAAGATAATATTATTGACTGCACTTAATTGCAAAAATATCTACAGCATTGAGCTCCATATGTTGCAATTTTGGTTTAAAAAAAAAAAAAAAACACACAAAAAACACAAAAAAAACACACAAAAAACACAAAAAAACAAATGATATGAATTAAAATCGCTCTTTTCTCATATTATAAGATTCCTAGTTTGTAATTGACGATTTTTTCAGTGATATCATCAATGAAAAATCATGATAAACTGAGAAAAAATGGTAATTTTACTGCAACTAAGTGGCATGTATTCGCAACTTCATGTCAATGATTCACATCTTTCCTACTGAAAATTCTACTCTGTATAAGTCCCTTTTCGGAGATGGTCAGATGTTAGATGACCTGTAAGTTGGACTTACTTTTAGTTTGTAGGTGTCAGCAGTATCTTTCTTGTCCTTCTTGAGCGGGGAGGCAGCCTCATCTTCACTGTCTGATACCTCCATTTCATCATCGCCTGCCACAACGGAACTTTCTTGAAACTCCTTCATTTTCACATCCTAAACAAGCACACCTCATCGCTTAAGTATTGCTTTATATAGAAATATAAGTATTCTCATCAGTGGACAAAAGTGACTTACAAAAACCTACCATTTGGCCTCCGGTTTGGAATTGATAAAGACGCAATGAAGTCTGACGAAAACAATAATCGCAGTTTGACTGTTTCAAATTCAAAATGACACAAACATAAATGAGCTTAAACACTTATAACGATACCTACTTTACGGAATTGGCTAATTGAGCAGATAAATAATTGAATTTTGTGCAGGAATACGAAGGTATCCCAGAACAAAATTCAAACTGATACATTACATATTACAGATCAGATATAATCTTTTTAATGTTGAGAGTGAGTGAACAAATTTTCACCTTATGAAACCTGTCTTACACTGGGAAGACTTTGGGTGAATCAAAACTGAAAAATTTTCCCGGAAACCTCACCTTGGTATTTTGGAGCGACCAGATATATCTCCATCCAAATGGACTGAGTTCTGAAAAGGTTGGTGAATAAATGAAAATTAAGTTATTACCTGTGAATTTTACCTTCTTCCCTTCATAGTTCATTTTCTCGAGAGTTAGTTTTTGCTCTCTTACTTAGTATGATTACTTTGGTTATAGATTCCTTCAGTCACATACATATACATATACTTACAAAATACAAAAAATAGGATGATCTGAGCTTTTTTGCTGGCGACAATGAGAGGAAGCACATGCACAATAGAGAGCAGACGATAAAAAAATACAAAAAAAGTTAATGTTTATGGAGCTTTAAAGGCGACTGGAAGAAAATGTACAGCTGATGAACTCATGAACTAAAAAATTTAGGTCTATCTTTGCTATTTATGACAATTATTGCAATTTGGAAGGGACAGAAATTCCGAGGATGTTTAAGTTTTATGGAAGAGAGAGAGGCCATCAAACAAAAATAAATATACATTTTTTTATCAACAGCCAGGCTAGTGATGAAACTTTGGAGGTATGTTTAGAATTTTTGCACCTTCATTTAATGACAAAGGATTTTTAATTCTGTGAAAACACTTGCAAGGACCATAAATCAAACCAATATTTGAATTTTTGTCTTTTTATAAATGGTAAATAATAATAATAATAAACTATTTTAGAGCTGTACGTAAGTTTTTAGATAAGGTATAATGTTTTCACATGAAAGGTTCAAAATACTCTGACTTAAGACTTTTCAGTAATGAATTCATTTCTTTTTTTTTCTCTTGAAGGTCAAATTTTAATGAAGAAATAACTTGAGAGTAGAATAAAATGTTAGTAAGCCTACATTCAACCAAACTACGCTTTGTCTTTATAGTACGCCACCAATCAAATTCAACCATTGGAAAACAGATTATTAAAACTACAAATAAAGAGGGCAAAAAAGAGGTAAGGTACACCATCTGACAGCATAAGAGAAAGAGTATAAAAGACCTGGCATAAATTAAAAAAAAATGGATAAAGAGAGATATAGCTTCCTAGATAGGTATGGGCTAAATGTCTTATACGATAAAACCTACCGCAAGAAAAGAAGGGAAATCATCCTATGAACTTGTTTCATATTTGTCTGAGATTTGCGAATAAATTGAGCAGAAGAGCTGCAGTTCAGGAACATAAATTATTTGAATAAGGAGTAAACAGAGCATACATTAAAAAGCAAAAAGTCATGGCTACTTCAATAAAATTAGAAAAACTCAGGGGTCTTTTCATCACTTTTACCTGAAACTTTTGAAGGGCATTGGAGCAAGGAAAACTTGACAATGCTGGAATTCGCTTCAGATAACTTGGCAGACGTTTACTTACCATTTGAAAGCAACTGAGCTGCCGCTGGTAAATAGCAATTAAGGATAGAGCAAGAGCTATGATGCTGCCATGCGCAGACAAGTGTAACCGTACAAGTAACTGTGTATTGCCCATCTCAGTCCAAAGTAAACAGCTGCCAACTTACCTGACTCGAGTTCAACTGAGAATCCAGGAAGGGAGAAAGCAACCGATTAACAAAATAGAATAAATGAGAGGCAAGAAAGAAAGGAGCAAGACTTGAGGGGAAGAAAAAGTGAAGATGAGAAAAAACCTACCGCTGCCTGCTTCTTCCACGTTTCAATGTTTTTCCTCTGAGCTTTTGTGAAATGATCCCAAACTTTCTTGTGCAACGCTGAAGAGAAAACTCGTTCGATCTGATTGACTTCAGCCAAAAACCAACAGAGATAGAGCAAGTTAATCCAAACATAGCTCAGCTTAAAAGGTTGGTCAGAGTTAAAACAGACGCATACCTACTGCACCATTATGGAAACTTTGAGGCCTGCGAATCCTGTTGACTGGTGTGATCTTGGAGCTTCACACATGTGAAACCTTTTCTCCACAGACTTAGGACTTGACTATTGGGTTTCCACTTACTTCTAACACCAGGGTGTCTACTGACAGCCTTCCAAAGAAATTAAGTACTTCTATAGAGCGTTACCTGTACTTTACCTTGCTGATGACAGAAACGAAGAGCCTGCTGAGTAAATGATAAAATACTTTTCAGGCCCCATTTTGCCACGATTTGCAACTGATTCATTTTGGAAAATTGTTGGTACATTTAATCAAACAAATTTTACAAGAGATTCTTTTGTCCAAAATTTCACCAAATTTCTGAACTTCTGGAATATTAATGAACCTACCAAAAAACCAGGTACCTTTTCTGGAGCTAGTAGACACCCTGTGTGCACGTTATGATACCTTTCCAGTCATTCATGCAATAAACTGTATTCATGTTAATTTTAGAGCCAGGCGAAATTTTGAGAGGTTTATGTAAAAGGTTCAGTTAAGGTTTAAAATTCTGAATGGACCAATTTTTGAGACCAATTAGTAGTTTTTAAGCACAATAAAAAGTTTCTGTTAAAAATTCATGATTGTAAATCTCTGTCAGTTTCAGCTTTGATTCAAAATACAAGATTCGCATGGCTCCGGTCAAATTTACCTTTCAATTTAGAGGTGAATAGGTATTTACGTGTGCTTCAATTTGCAGAGAATGTTACCATTGATAAGACCTCTTGCAAAGAATCTCTAGAAAAGAAACTATAGGTTGTTCAGACAGTTCTTTACCTGAGCAATCCACCAAGGTTTCATTTGTTTGGAAACTATTTGTACAATTACCAATCATAGACATCTGGTTTCAGGCAATACAATTGTTACATTTTTGTACCAGAGCAGCTTCAAGATTGTACGTAAGATGTGATTTTTAATACTTACTGAGAGAAAATAGTCAAGGACAGGAGATAATTTTTAGTGAGATTCTCTGTTGTTAAACAACTCCAACTATAGTGATATTTCTTAGATATATCGAGTAACTTACATTTATTTCGCTGAAAACCAAATAACTAATCATAACAGAAAGGTTGCGTAATTTTACAGATATCAGTGAAAATACTGGAATTTTCAGCGCCTATGAAAAGAATCAAACAACTTACTCTTTGACTCCACTCTATTTGATATAATGTACAGGTTCAGATGGATGATTGAGAATGGATGATTCAGAGGGTGAGAGTAAAAACAAAGTGAAAGTTGCTGAAAGTGGAAGAAAAAGGACTGCTGCTATATTGGAAAAACATTTGAACAGGCAAAAGCGCTGATTTTCACTTTGATCAAAGATACGAAAAACCCTTCCAGTAGGGATTGACGAGTAGAAAGAGCTTCTTACGCAGCAAACATAGTATAATGGGAACAAGAGAGAAATCAAGATGCTCAAAATGGATAACATCCATTTCATAACTGACTTTTTGAGATCACAAGTTCTCACTTGTAAAGCCACTGGGAATCCGAGATATTACAGCTGTTCAGCATCAAACACATAAGCACAGGATAAATATCATAGATTAGGACATGGGTGATGAATAAAATCTGCTAGATTTTGAAGAATGGCGACGGAATGAGGTGCTTAAAGGATATCCTCACCCTCTCATCCGTTAGAGACTAATAACTAGAGAATTTGGAGGTTACAAAGGGTGAATGGTAGAACCTAGTTTCCTCGAAAAACCGATCCATAAAACCTGATTACCTTAAAGAGCCGAAAGGTTGAATTTTGCTTGGGGTCCTGCTCTCAGTTTTTAATAAACCTCCAAAACACCTATGATGCAAAGAAATAATGATAAGAGGACTCTCATCAATAGCTTTTGGAGTTTTGAGAGTCGGAAAAGCCGAGCTGTTGCCCTGTATATTTATCCTACATGCTGTGTAACTTAAAATACTAAAATATACGGCAACGAAGCACAGAATCAGAACTCAGGCAGTTCCAATGCAGCTGCCTAACAGTTGCAACGGAGTTGACGAAACAGACCAGGACCATAAAATCAATAAGGAGGGATTTATTTGCAAAATCCTACTTCTACTGAGCCCCATGCTGCGCTGTCGCAGCCAGACCCAGTAAAAAAATTGCGAAATACAGTTAGGAAAAAAGGGGCAACGATAAATTTCTGGTCCACTTGCTCCTCACAAAATGTAGAAAAATTTATATTTGTCCTTCATTTGTAAGATTACTTACATGGCACTTCAGCAACCCATCCATTGTTTACCAGGACCAATACACGGCTATACTGTGGTGCCTAGTTTTAATGGACAGGCAAAAAAAATGAGTCAGCGGTGGTTTCTATGGAGGTTAAAACGTTCGTGAGATGCTTACTTACATTGGGCTTGTAGCTTCGTGACGCGAGCCTTTGTCTTCTCCTTAACGTGCTTCAGCTCTTCTTCGCAAAGCTCTTTCTCTGATACAATGCGACGGATGTGAGAGTTAGTATTCTGCACCATGCAGAAGAAGAGATGTGCATTGCGTTTGATACATTCACCCCTTTCCAGCCATGCTACAGCAACTGACGTGGCTTTCATGAAAGAACTCTCATCTACACCATAAAACAGTCCAAAATGACCTCGTTAGGGCATTAAGAATAAGAAATACTTAACTTTAACTGTAAAGAAGAAAAAGCCCTTCAGTAGAACTTTTTAAGTCTAGGAGCCTTCCTCAAATTGTGATATGTTGAGATTCAGAATTTATGGCCCCTCTTCCTCACCATGGAGTTATAGACCCACAAAAAATTTCTTCACAAATATCTATCTTTTTCCTCCCTTTTTCTGAAAAATTAGAATTTTTTGCCAATGACTTCACCAAAATTATTGAAAAAGTTTGAGACGATGGCGTCTTACACTGATTTTTGCAATACATCACGCACTGTTACACCTTTTTCCTCCTTCTCATCAGCACTACAACTTCTTCTTTCCCCGTAAATGATGTAATTCATGAAAAGTCTCTACGCAAATCTGTCCTTCAACTTGAAGACAGTGCTTCCTTGAAATTCAACATGCTATTTCTTCCTTTAGAAATACATACAAGTTCATGGTAGATTTTTGATACAGGAATCAAGAGCTTTTGGCAACTTGTGAAAAATTTTCGAGGACTAGCAAAAAATTTTTAAAAGTCAAAGGAGCCTTGAAAAACAGGGGTTTCCTCTTTCCGTACCTTAACTTTTTGCTACCTATGAAGAGAAGTAAGTGCCTCAAGAATAGACAATGCTGTTCATCACAAGAGAAGAAACCAATCTTCTGAGCAATTAAGAGTATTTGAGGACTTGAAAATTAGATAAAATTTCAACATATTCAAGGACTTTTCAAGGGATCAAGAATCCTGTGGATGTGCTGTGCGCCAAAACATATCTCAGTTTTTACAACATTCATGGGCTCAATTTAAATAATTTGAAACAAGAAAATTTCTCCAAACTATTTCCTCTATTTTTTATAACTGAGAGAGGGAGATATACTTTCTTTGAATGAGCTCAAGACAAATAATCAAAGAACGCAGCTGAAATTTGGATAAAAACTTACTTTTGAGTTTTTCTACAAGAGCGTTGGCCTCTCCTTCATTAAAGTGCGGAACTGGGGGTGGTGACGGAATGCGACTGCGCTCTTGTTCTATTTTTTCGCGGTGGCGTTGTTCTCTTTGCAACTGTCTTAAATGACATTCCCAATCGTATTGATCATCTCTTGCCTGTGCAAAGTCCACGTGAAGTCGGCCATTGTACATGGTATCCATACTTTGTCCAATTTTTATTCGGTAGCCTAACAAAAAACAGATTCATCCTTAGCATGGAAATTATCATTATTTCATCTACAGTTATAATGCACAAAAGAGCATCCACATGCAATCAGACATATTATTGGATTTGTGCCATCTTTAGAAGTGTCTTCAAAAGAAAGAGGGTGTTTGCAATGATTCATAAGAATCATGCTTATCATATCGATGGCCAAAACAAAGTATCTCCATTTGCAATGTAGCGACTTTCTCTCATAATTTATTTTTTCTTTGGATAACTAGCCAACATAATTACTTGAAAACTTCCTTGATTTTTTTTTCCTGTTAGCAAAATATACTGTACAAATTTTAAGCTGTAAAGTTGGCTTGTTTCACTTAAAAAAAAAAGAAAAAAACAATAGTGTATTTCCTTCGGAAAATACACTAACAGGAGCGGAAATTTTGAAACACTGCGATGGAGATACAGGGCTTCACACTTTGGCCATTTATATGTTCTTTCAACAATACTTTGTTTAGACCCATATTGGAAAAACTTGACCAACATACAATAAAAGAAAAATAGGTCAATGATACCTATTTTAACCTTTTAATAATATGGGTATAAATTTGCGAGAACTCTACTGAAGAGCTGATCTAGTTCGATATCGGGACTAAATATTGCTGTCTGCGGTGCGCAACATTTATACCATACTATTTATCACTGTTTTAATTCAATTCAAACTCAGTTTATTGCTATACACTAACCATGGTGAATTGGGCTAGGTACAGGTCACAATAGTTCTTTCTCATTGACTAAAAGTAAAGAGAGCACACTAAAGACTCACCAGATAGGTATAAAGCATTGTCTACTGATGACATTTCCACAAACCGAACATGACAAAACTTCTTCATGTTATTGAGTCTTATGCTTGATATATCACCACACCGGGCAAAAATTTCTCGTACCATATCCTCTGCAAAATAGAATGAAATGAAACAAAAATACAAAAATCCTGTTATAAGGACAGCTCAAAAGGAAATCAATTTAAAGTGTTGTTAGAGATAAAATTCAATTTATTAGTGAATGAAACATAACCTTCAACCAGCAATTGGAAAAGGCTAATCGCTGAAAGACTTATGATAGATACATTGGAGGCAATGATTGGGGATAGATTTTTGGATATTTTGCTACCAAAAAAGCCCAAAAATAAGCAATCAAATTACAGCAAAAATGAATAGAAATTGGTGGCAGAAAATCGTTATTTTGAGAAAAAATTACTTTAAATGTATCAGTGAACAAGGTGCAAACTGAAGCATTACTATACATTTTCCATTCATCAAAATTTTACATAAAACAAGATTTTTGGAACAAACGTTAATGGAAATGACTCCTGACAAATATATTGATGTTTTCTGATGCATAAATTCAAACTTTCTCCTCATAAAAAGATTAGTTTTTCTTTTCTTTGGGGGAGGGGGGTCCCAAAGAGAGAAAAAAAATAATTAGAAAGAAAGAAAACAAGCAAAGGAAAAGGAAGACTGACCAGTAGTTTTCTCAGGTAAGCCACCAACAAAGATGGTTTTGCACCCAGGCGGGCGCTTTCTTGTGGATGGTGTTGACATGTTGGGATTCGGTGGATAAAGTATACAGTCTTTACACTCTATTATCTCTTTGGCACCTCCTTGAGCCCCAGCAGAAAATATATTTGCATCCATCATTGCACCATCCTGCGGCATCATCCCAAACTGAAAATGCAGAAAAAGCATTTGCAACCATTGCATTGGTCAATCAATATTCTGTTCCCACTACAAAAGTATGAGTGTTTTTAGTGGATCAACTGTTTATAAAACCAGATTTTGAGCGATTGAAAGCTGATCCGACATTTAACTTCATATTTCTGATTCATCGAAGATAAGATCATGTCATCTGCTAATCACGTGAAAATTGACAAAACTTTTTTTTGGGAGGGGGGGGGAGAAAATTTTCCTCCAAAGCAGTACTGAAAAAATTGTGAGGTACTCTGAAAATTTGATGATACTTTAGCAATGTATTGATGTATTCCGATTAGCAAATTAATCGATACCAATGGTTCTTGAAATATTATGTAATTTAATCTTAAAATGGGAAAAGATTTAATAATTTCTTTCTAGACCTGTTGCTCATGAGTCAAATATAATACAAGTATACATTTCGAAACACTAAAATTACACCTTGTGACTATGTTACATTACCATCAATATACCGTTTTGCGTCTTATGCCAGATAAATCCTCAGCAGAACATACCATGAGTGGATTCATGTTGGGCTCAACGATGCCAAGAGGATTAACGCCCATCACTGGTGGAAATGTTCCCATCTGCTGGAGCAGGTTTGACCACATCGGACCACCTCCAGGCCTCTCTCCCCCACCGCCAGTACTGAGATGTGATTCGGCACCGCCCAACTTTCCGTGATTAGAATCGACTGAGTTGTCTTGATTGTCCCTTTCGATTTCTTCACAGCTGGAAACATTAGAAAAAATTTCAATGCTCCGCTTGCAAATAATATTTGCTTAGGGAAAATTCATAGAGGTAATTAAAAGCTTTAGCTATAGGTAGTGCCATTAAGATACAGGTAATCTCTATAAATGACAAGCATGAATTTTTAAAATCGCAAGAAAACTCCTTGCCACCCCCCAGCCCCGAGATGCATTGTCAATTGCTTAAAAAGTAATGTTGCAGGGTATTTTTGCACGTGGTTGATGTTTAGACTTTTTTTAAATTTTTCATGGGAAAAGCTTGTTTTAAAAAATTCGATTTTTCAAAAAAATGATGGGGAATGGAAAAAAACTTGGGGTCATTCTCAGATCCAGCAGTGACAAGTACGAGACATTGTAAGTCTAACGTTTTTTTCCTGGGGGTAAGATTTTGAGTTTGCAAAAAATCATTACAAATTTCCGGAGAGAATTTACCGAAATAGATTCAAGTGGTGGTTAGGTGTTGCGCAGCACCCTAGTGTGCTATGAAAGCAACTACTACACACATACTTAAATATATAAGACGATAATTGAAAACCTTGACATAATTACTGCAGCCTGAATGTTGAAATTTTGTGTTCGTTGGGTGGAAATGGATGACATAGGTTAAATGGCGAAGCGTTATTGGTCAGCTATGTCTTATCGTTTCTTTCTCATGCTTTGTCAAGTTGAAATGGACGACAAACTAAAGGCACCTCTTGAGTATTTGACAGTATATCGTCCATTCCACCCGACAAAGAAACAATAAGACACAGCGGACCAATCTTGCTTCGCCACTTAACCTATGTAATCCATTTCCATCCGACAAACACAAAAATTCAACAATCAGGCTGCAGACCAGTTTTCTTGAAAATTATCTTGAAAAACAGGCCTTTTCGTTGGGCGTCTGACGGTCAGTTGGGAGCTTTGAACACTGACAGAATACGAAAATAACCCACATTGTTCGTTCTCACAAAACTTAAAAAAAATTGGCATTATCTTCTTCAAAATTTATCATCTAAATTGGTAAAGATAAGCACTCTAATGCGCAACCAGGTACAAATGATATTTACCAAATAAATTACTCACCTGGAGTTGTAGTCTCTTTCTGTGCTCTGGTTCCCCCATCGATCACGTTTTCGCTTCCGTTCCCTTTTCTCATACCCTCCATCATCTTTGTCCTTATCATAGTCGGAATGGGCATTTCCATCAAGGCTCTGTGCGCCACTTAGATCCCCAAGGTTTACAGGAGCTGAAATGAAGACATTGATCTAAAATTATTTTCAGAGCATTATTTGTTCCCAGATTCAGTGAAGAATTTTATTGAACCATTACAAATTTCTCATTAACATTCAACTTTTTTCCCAACGTTATGCATCAACACATTTTTTCAGAACTTCCCAAGTTTTTCTTCTAAACATCAAGAATCAAACTGTCGGTTTTGGGAGGACATACGAAGCAATTTTCCCACAAAAGAAAAATTAGCTTCCAAAACTGTTGAGAGAATGTGCCTGGGTACCTTTTTTAAGTGTCATTTTTCAATGTAATGTCACCGTATGACTTCAATATGTAAGGAAAACAATATAAGGTCAATCTCAAATGTTTCAAATTCGGAGACCACACTGTTTGCAAAAGAGGTAATTGAGGAGAAAATTGTTGGGATAGATTGCAGGAAAATCATCTCAAGAAAACTTTAAGCTGAATTGAAGTTTCAAATGTGAGGTAAACAGCGACTGGAGCACAGCAAACAAGAGTTGCGTGCAGTTGTTGAACCATTTTAAAAAACTGATGACCTTTTTCTCTTCTCCTTCTTTTTCTTTTCAATCCCTTTTGAAAAGTGAGGTAAAGGAAAATTTTTCCAGGAGGCAGAGACCGCTGGATTGCAGTAAACATTCAGCGTTTGGGTACTTTCTGCACTCATATTTAGGACTATTTTGAGAAAGCCAAAGTCACTGATTTTAGCCAAATTACTTTGTAAAGGTGGGCTGGTGATGCAAAAAAAGAGCAACTAAGAATGGGTTGAACAGATGAAATTCTTAATTCTTTTGGCATTTTATTAGGAATTAATAAGAAATAATGATGTAAAACAGAAAAAGCAATTCAAAGCTTTTTGTTAAAGAGAAAGCCATTCTTTTCTGCAAGATCTTTTAGGACTAATTTGCTTAGGATTTAAGGTAAAAAAAAGAAGTTATTAGATTTTGTCAAGGACCTTTCATTTTTTACTAAGAGTACGCTTACGTTTGGTTGGTGCCTGGGCCATTAGGCCCATATCAAGTGGAGGAGCATCTTTAAGCAACGGTGGCATATCTAGTGGATGCATTTCATTCAGAATTGAAGGAGGTGGAAATTGTTGCGGGCCTAAAAGGAGCTGTCCGGGCGGAAGCATGGAGTGTCCAGTTGCTGAGATCATCTGCATCAGCTGTTGCTGCACCATTTGCTGATGTTGCTGCTGTTGCTGAACATCTAGATCTGTAATAAGAACTTAGAATGAGATACCGATCTACTCTGCCTCAAAAATCTTGATTTATATACTAACTAGAATAGAGTAATTCACTTTCAAAACGGTGCTGTAAGGCGTGGGGGAGCTCAGCCCCAAACTAGATGTTTAGAAATCGCAAGAAATAATGAGAACAATGAATACAACAATTATTTTCTTATGATACCCTCCAAGAATTAGGGCGGATGCGAGAGTGAAGAAGATATGTAGGTACTACACAATAGAAAATGGAAATTATAAAATTTTCTTTGGCTTCCTCCCCACCATTTTACCATATCATAATGCATTTATATTAATCATTTGTAGGGACACGGCCAAAATTTGTTGACACTTAGATATTTTTTTCCTTCTTTGTAAAATGGTCTCAAATCTTTCCAAGTTTTTTAATTAAGCCGCATAGGTATTCATTTATGAGGCTCCAAAAAGAGTTGGTGTATGCATTTCTGGGACTATCTTCTGTAAAACATGGTGAAATTGATAGTACTTAAAGACTTTCTCATAGGAGGGTCATCACAAGGGGACACTCAGAGAGATTTAATAAGTTTGTGGACATCGTGTCTAGGTTCCAGGTGATTTTGGCAGCTGAACAGATTCTATATCTCGGGAGTTCTTTGATCAACTCCTTGGCAGGCTATGCAGAATACACTGGTCGTACCTGATTGAGGGTGATTTCGCCCGAATCCAGGTCTGAGCTGCAGCGGCCCCACTTGTGGCGGAGGAGGTGGTCCTGGTGGAGGAGGTCTGGCCCCTGCTCCTGTAATTAATTCATGACAGTTACGATCCTGAAAATTTTCCTCGATCACCCTTGTAAACATGATTAGAGCTGGAGAAAGAAGAGAATAGACGAATGTCATATCTGTCCATCTATCTACTTCTATTTTGTCCAGGGTTGCCACCGTTGGGGACTTTGGCCAGAGCCATTAGAAAACAGCACCATTCAACAAAACCTCATGCACCAATCGGTGGGTCAACCGTTGATTGATGCATTCAGGTTAATGTGACATTTATCCATTCTTTTTTTCCCCAAATTCTACACTCAAGAAGCCTAGCTTCAGCTCTAGCAGAGAGAGTGATTGTCCACAAAATTAACAAGTGTAACAGAACATGTAGTACAATTCTGTGCGAGCGTTGTTCTTCTCCACTTTGAATTTGGTGTGGGACTAGTAGCCTGACAGATCAATGACAAGGTCATGAGAACTGCGATTCCTATGTTGAACCTAAGAGTGTAGAAAATGCTCTGTCACTGGGGCGCGTGAAAATGTGAAAAAGCCCCCAAATGTGGGTGGAGGCAACATTTTGAAGGGTCAAAAGTTGAAAATCAAATTAAAACAAGGGTCATCTCTTCTTGGCTTGTTGGGAAATTTTGTCAAAATCTGACCGACAATTGGGTGGAAAAGTGGAAGCTTCTACACTCCTGGTTGAACTTGTAAATGGTAAACATTAGAACTCCGGATAAATGATGGAGAGGCATGGAACTGTCAGCAACTCGCGGGCAGGTCCATCATATTTATTGCATCTGGTTTCATCTGAATGCTTTCATCCACACTTTATTTCAGACTGCTCAATCTTTGGCCCTTGTTACCATTACTTCTCATCGCTTCATTTGCAGGATGGGGTGCATACGAGCCTTAATGGTAGAGGAATATCATTTTAGTTCATTCTGTTCAATTCTCTATCCATTGATTTCTAAAAAACCATGCAGATGAGATCCAACGAACTTTGCTCAATCTTAGAGCCTCGATTCTTAGGGTGAAAGATTTCAGCAATAATCTTCCCTAAGTCATACCCTGGGAAGTAAATGGATTAACTTAAAAATGCAAGTAAAAGGATACAGACAGGATATAAATAACTCCTATCTTTTCACTTGTGTAAGTAAGCGGTGGAAACAAGCGGAAAATTAAAAAAAATTCACAGTCGTTGCAAACACAAGATTTGACTTACTGCGTGGGAGCCCAGAGTTTAACGCATTGCTGAAACTGAAAGCCATTAAAAGGAATTTTTAATGAACAATGCAGTTGGAGAGTTCAGAGATCCGAAATACATCAGAGGCAGCCTGAGCCCCCAGAAAGTCGCACACAATGATCATTCAAGGACGATAATTGGTTATGAGAGGTGCTTTGATGACTTCTATCATTTTTAAAAACTTAAACACACGAAAATACTAGGCACTGTAAGTAATTCTAATTCTAATCACTACAGTAAGGAATATCAATCCGATTAGGAATAGTGAAGTGACTGCTTCGGATCGGGGAATGATTAACAGTTTGTTTACATCAGACAGCACCCCCGCCTCCACCACCCCTTTCTTATCAATCATTTAGGAGGAGTTGCCAATTCGTACGCATTTCGTACGCAAGTAGATGTTCTGCAGGGTTTGCGATCGTAATTCGTAGCGCTACCTTGCTCCCGGTGAGTGAATGTGTAATCAATCAATTTGCGGGAGCGAGGAGCACCGCGGCCGCGGCGCAGAGATACAACTATTTGAACTTAATGGATGTCCGTATTGCATCTGCAAAATTGAAGGCGCAATGGATAGCGCACAACGTGAACATGCAATGCTTCACGCTATACTGCCAATGATGGATGGGGTGTCACTCAGATTAAGGAGGAAATTTGAATGACAAGGCACGATTACGTCTATCCTATTTTCGTCCGTGTCATCAATCGGTTTGTTTTCTTTATTTTCTCTTAAATTTTGATTATTTTTTAGGATGTATTTGTAGACCTATATCTAAAGCTCGTATGTGCCGGCCCTACACAACCCACGGACGGTGCACGTGTCTTTAAAGATCCGCGGGTCAACTTAATCTAGTCTGGGCATCAAAGAGTTAATTTTTCCAATCATATTTGAATTTAATTTAATTGCCTTGCCAATTTTTGGAGACCATACAATCGTAACTTCTTTTCGATTTTTTTTTGCGAACAGGGGATGTAGGAATTTTAAGTCTCCTCTCGACCGGTCACATTCTGCATCCTGCGGATGGATGATGGAGCGTTTTTAGTTATTTTAGATCGAAGGGGGAAAAATTCCATAGTGCTCTACATAACAGTAAAGTTTGAAAAAAAAATTAAAATCTGGCCTCCAGATTGATATAGTCCATTTTCAAGACATTTAGTGTGTTTCCACGCGCACTTTTGACAAGGGAATACTATATTTGTGGTCCATTCCATCAATCCGACACTTAAGTAGTAGCCAGGGAGTAGATAGAAAACCAGCTCCAGAGCCGGATTATAAGCGCTCAAGGGCCCGCGGTGCTGGCGGGCGCAAGGGGCCCGCACATTTGCGGATTTCATACTCTCTAAATTAAAGGGAGTTTACGTTTCCCAAAAAAAAAACGAATGGTTCATTTTACCCGATCCCACCCCTCGCCGTCATTTTAGCCAAGGGCTTATAAAATATTATTACCTAGTGTTTAATGTCCTTATCAAGTGTTTTTTGTGTACCATTGCGTCATTTAATGAATTTATCAAACAAACAAACAAACAAACAAACAAACAAACAAACAAAAAGTTAAATTACTAAAGTGGCACTCAAATTAGGGATGTCACTCATAAAATGTCATTTCATGACATGAAAATTAACCATATGGGTACCTAATGAATAATTGAGAGACTCTTGAATTTTTCCGAAGAAACAACAACCCGATCTATAATTTCTTATACACCGGGTAGGCAGTCCCCATGGGCCGAATAAGAACTTTTCGGCCGGGAAGGGGGGGGGGTAGAAGGCTCTTAAGGTACCTCATCAAGGGGGGCAGTGGGGTCCTGTTCGCTCCAGACAAGAGTTCGGGGAATCCTTCTCGCTTTAAAGGGGGGTCCGGAGGAGCACGGAAAAAAATGACTGTGCGCGGATAACCATTAACCATCTTGGTTTTGAATTAAAAGTTGGTGCCGTGTACATACATGAAAAAATTGATAGAATAACCAACGGCATTGTATTGTCCACAACGTCTTTATATTAGGGAAATCAATCATTTTCAATTAGTTGCTACTATAGCTATTACACTAGAGTCCCTTTATACCCAGAGTTAAGACAACTCGATTATCAGCTGACTGGCAGCCGGCCTTGGCTAGCCATGGAGGCCGAAACGAGTGCACCCAAACGAACGATATTGAGGGGTAAGGATCAGGAATCCTGCGATGTCTGTCACACAAAAACAACAACTTCAACAAATTGATCAATTAAAAAGAAAATGAGATTGGTTTGTGAATAATTTCTGAATCTATTTTCATTTTGGACCGATGGCAATAACAATTTACTCCTGATAAACCACAATTAGGTAATATTTTCATTACTCTTGTTGACATTCGAGGTACCGCCATCTTGGTGCACTCGTTTCGGCCTCCATGAGCGAGAACCATTCAGAATTGGATTTTTTTTTAGGCCACTTTCAGCCCAACCCTGGCCCAACCAAAAGTGAGTTGTCTTAACTCTGGGTATAAAGGGACTCTATATTACACATCTGTTCACCGAGACAAAATTGATGGTAAACTGCTCCATCAAGTTTACTCATTGCACCAAAGAGTGCGCTTGCGCTTCACCTATCTTGTTTTTGGTTGATGCTACTCGGTTAAGTGGGCTCATTGAACTACAGAATGCGTTAGTGCAAATTATAAACTTGTTGATTATGAAGGTCACCATCTCAGATAACTCAATTACAGTATTTTGTTAGTAGTCTGCTCCGTCAATTTTTTACGCTTTACCAACATTGAGTCACCAAAGAAAGCAATCAGATATGGGCTGATTAGGGATAGTATGTTGATACATTTTCAAGAATTCATTTTCAACCCACCTTGTGTGACTGATAAGCGTGTAATAATATGTTCGTGGAGCGTACTCCTTTTCCCGTCCCTGGCTCGGGCGACGGTAAAGTCGCCGCAAAACTATATGACTTCGAGCAATTAATTATTCTTGACTCTGCTCGGTTTTAATGATAATTAAAGGACATTTATTACAACAATTTAGAAACTCGGACGATGTTAAATTTTTCACTGATTTAAAAAAAAAAAACGGATTAAAACGAACTAATATATTCATCAAAACCAAAAATTATTTCATTCTAAAAGTAAAGTATACCTCATATCGTAATTTTTGAGGGGAAAAATAAAACTAACACTGATAGGAGGTAAAAAGAGGGCCGCGAAGCGGCCCATTGGTGGCGCGGAGCGCCTTCAGGGGGTTGGACCGCGTAGCGGTCAGGGGCATAGCCCCCTAGTATTTGACTATTTGCCCAGGCATTTGACAAAATGCCTAATTTTACTATTTGCCTGCGACATATCGATTGCAGTGTTTGAAAATTTCTATCCTCCCCCCCCCTCCCCTTGGTACCAAGTTTTACGAAAATCCGACGAGCAGGAACCGAGACAGCGTTTTAGGCCACGCCCGCCACCTTGGTTTTTCGAATTTTCGAAATTAGACTAAAAATTCGAATTTAATCGATGTAATGGGAGCCGATATATCAATTTAGGCTACGTCCGCCGTCTTAAATTTTCAAATTCAGAAAATTCAACTTGAAACGCATCATACCCAAAATCTAAGCTCAGATTCGGCTTCCTCGTGAAAAATCGATGCCATTTCATGTATCATATGTTACCATAGCATAAACAAAAGACGTTATCGCAAGTCGGGTAATCGTAGGCGTAAAGATTCTATCAAAGCCGGCCGGTATGCGGAAGTAGACACAGAATTCAAACGTTTGAGCTACGCCGCCAGACGCCGGCGTCAAGCATTTGGTTCATCCGTTTCCGAGAAAACAAACTTCTTCTTACTCATCAGCTGACCTACTCCGAATCACCCATGTTGCCACGTCGGACTGATATGTTAGAATCTACACGCCTACGTTAATCTCTTTCCTTCATGATATGGTGACATATGATACATGAAATTGCATCGATTTTTCACGAAGAAGCCGAATCTGAGCTTAGATTTCGGATATTATGCGTTTTAAGTCAAATTTTCTTTTATTCATTTTAAATCACTCAGGAAAATTTGCGGAAACTCATTAGAATAACAGTGGGTATTCTTTTAAAAACATTGATCAAAAATAAAACATTGATGGTATTTGAATCTATTAATCGCCGAGATAACTTGAACACGGTTGTTCAGACGACTTATTACGTATGTTGTTTTCTTCTTTTGGTTGTCGGCAGCGTAGCGGCCAAAGGCCCCTGGTACTAATAACAGTTTTCAAAATCAATTTTTTTCTACATTCAAAATTCCGAGGTATTTTGAAAACTTGAGCCCTCTCAGAGGCAATTTTAAGCTACTTACCGAAAAATTGATCGAATTTCCTACATTACAGATATGCCATGCGATATTTCAGCACAATATTTCACATTTCTTAGGAGAGGCCGAGTAGATTCCTAGGGGAACCGAGCCCTCCCCCTCCCCCTCTATTTACGCCTAAGGCAGTCCCTCTCGAGTGACAGAAGAAGTTGAGCTTCAAGAGGATCTCCTAACGCTGAAGCTTGAAGTCGATTTTTAATTATTGTTAATTTAGAAAAAAAACTCTCTCGCAAGTCCCGTGAAATATTTTACGAAATTTTAAGAGACAGTGAGATTTTTTAGAAAACAGTCAGTTCGGGGACAAAAGTGCAACCCGCACTAAAAACACATGACGCATAATTGAACGCATACATTTTTTTCTCGTTAACCTCGGATTTTCATTTATTTTTCTCGTAGGTGCAATTACTAATGATTGAAACGGAAATTATGTCACCGAACAAAATAAGTATGGTTTTGATAATTATCAGGGTGGTCTAACAATTGATACTTAGAACATACTTTCATTATATTTCATAAAAATCGGAAAATATTTTGTAATTTTAAATTTCATGAAATCTTGCCGCAACTTGACTTAGACACACCACCGCGAATTCAAACCGGCGAAAAAGCATGATGGTGATCATGACTCTTCATGAAAGAGCAATGTCATGGATGAATATATACTACGTACATGTGAATATGTACTACGTATATACTAGATGAATATATACTACGTAAATGTGAATGAATATACAGGGTGTTCCAAAAGTCCAGCCCCCCCCCCCTCTCTAACTTTTGAACGGTTCGAGATAGAAAAATAAAACTTTGGGAATGTTCCTATCTCAAAGGGAACCATCTTTTGTGGGAGTCAAAATTTTGGTCTTGTGGAAAGTAGGCGTCGCAGAGCACCCTAGCGCGCCGTAAAAGCGGCTTAAATATACATAAATACATACCTATCATACCTCGGTCAAAAATTAAGATATTGATCTGCGGTTTGTGCCAAAATGCTTAGTTTTTTATGCTCTTTCGAATGAGGTACCACAAGATAGGGGTTGTCATTTGAAAAAAAAGTTGGGGACCTCCGCCCCCCTTTGAGGGGTGATCAAAATTTTAACCCCCCCCCCTCCGAAAGATGGTCCCCTTTGAGACAGGAACATTCCCAAAGTTTCATTTTTCTATCTCGAACCGTTCAAAAGTTAGGGGGGGGGGGGCTGGACTTTTGGAACACCCTGCATACGGTGTATATATTCATCCATGGCATTGTGTACATGGGCGAAATGCAAAATCTTGAATGGAGTTACCACATTTTTTCGGTGGACGATAGAGCGACAAGGAAGATCTTGACCGATTAGGTACCAATGGTACGGGAGACACGTGGCAAGGGTGACTTGTGACGTCACCGCCGGCCGGTCGGTCATGGTCGGTGGTCGGTCAATCGGTCGGTTTTCCCCCGTAGTAAGAGGGAAAACCCTGTCCCTTCCTTCCACACTATTACATTCTTGTGAGCAGGGGCTGCCGCTGCCCTTACAACGCGTGCCCATTGTTATGAAATTACCCTACCCTCACCGCACCGCAACCCCTCGCGTGGACTTTGAAACAACCGAACGCAAATTTCTAGATCATCGTATCCTCCCTCAATTCAGTTTCCGTCAGTCCGTCAGGTCGTTGTTTAACCAGAACCAATCGTCCTTAGACTGTGTTCTGCGGCGGTATAATTGTCTTTCCGATCATCGGTTTTCAGCTTAGTGATATTCCGAGGAAGAACTGTATATTCAGTGCGTAAGAACTTTAAGTGGAAGCGGGGTTTTAAGCTTGATTATTTGTCAAGAAAGTTTTTTATCGCCAAATTTTACGTTTCCGTTTCGATCCCCCTCTGCGTTTGATTGGCGTTACTTCACAACAATTTTAATTTGCCCAGTGAAATTTCCAGTGTGGAAATTGTATTTTTGAACTCTTTTAATTTTCTGACCTTTAATTAAGTTTTTCTCTGAATAAGCGCCAACCGTAATTTTTTTTACTGTGTGCTTGTCGTCTCTAAAATTCGCCACACTGCGGAGGCCTTCGTTTTTTAGTGCGTGCGATCTGAATTACTCTGATCCGTCGGCGGTTAGTTAGTGTTTTACAAATTCTTCCGAGTACGAGTCGATCTCTTTTTCCTTCTCCAGCGTTCAAGTCTCTCGATCTACAAAGCTCGATAAAGCTTCTCCCAACGGCCGGTTTAGTTTCCAGTGGCCTGTTCTTGTAGAGTTCCAGCTCCTGTGATCGACACTTCTACTCATTTCCATCAATATGTTCTCCCATAGAGAAGCGTATCCTTTCTCGCATTACTATGATTATGAGCCATTCATACGGGCCGTGGAGAAATTCCCTCAGTTATACAATAGGAAACACCCATTGTATTGGAAAATTCGCGGATATCCTGAAAAGAGAAGCACGTGGGAAGACGTCGGAAGAATGTGCAACTTTCGACCGATCAATGGTAAGTTATTCGAATTTTTACGCAGTGTATCAAAGGGTATGTTGCAAACTTTAACTAAAGGGTGATTTAACAGGATGAATAGTGTCGCCAGTGGTAGTTGAAAGCGATTTTATAGGTGATTCGACGGTTGCCATTTTTTGTGTCAGAGCGACGTGCGATGTTTCGCATCAATTCGTTCCATAATTTTGGCTACTTGTCATTTATTTCGAATTTTGAGATCGCACTACTGTTGTCATGAGACTAAAGAATTCATGTACAAAATTTGACAAAGAAATTCAACGTAACAAAGGCAGAGTTTTTTAGAAGAAAAATATACCATTCGATACCTACTGATAGCGAAACTGGACTCGAATTGTGAAATCAATCATCAATAGCTTTAAATTGCTTCTGAGAAGACTTAATTTTTCCAAATTTTCCGGGAGAGGCCCCCCGAACCCCCCTGTAAAGTTACAGGAATTCTCCGTACTCTCATTTAGAGCGAGAGGGATCCCCCAGACCCCTCTTGATTTGGTGCGTTGCTGTCCCCGCCTTGAAAAGTTCCTACTTCCACCCAGGACTGCCTGTCTGGTGGATGAAAAATCATAGATCAGGTTGTTTCTTGGGAAAAATTCAAGAGTCTCCTTTTTATTATTTAGGTGTCTATGTGCCTGGTTAATGTTTATGTCATGAAATCTATTATATGTGTGGTATCCCTAATTTAAGAGTTATTTTAATTTTTAATTGCTCCTAACTATAATGACGACGAGAACTGAGTCCGGGAGGGGGGAGGAGGAGGAGGATGTAACCGTAAATGAATCATTATACTTTTCTGGGAAAACTTGAACTGCGCCTCCAATTTATAGAAATCGCAACATAAATGCATGTATAATGTTTTATTGTATTGACATCATATGTATGTATTCGTACAGTATTCACGTATCGATGGCTGCTAAACTCGGAAAACGCGTATCTCCATTTTAACGTCTGGAGATTTCCATTTATTTTTCATTTCTTCAAAAGTAAAGCTACTTAAGGTGATTCGATGGACGTCATATTTTGTATCAGAACGGCATGCGGTAGATCGCATCAATTGGCTACTACTATTATTTCAGCTACTCGTCATTTTTCTCTAATTTTGAGATCGCAATTCTGTTGTCAGGAGACTACCGCACTCGCTTACCAGTTTTAACAAAGAAATTCAACGTACTAAAGGCGTGGTTTTTTTTAGAGAGAAAACATAGAATTCGATACTGATATCGAAACTGCACTCGAATGCGATATTTTCTCTCTAAAAAAACCACGCCTTTATTACGCTGAATTTCTTTGTTAAAATTGGTAAGTGAGTGCTTTAGTCTCCTGACAACAGAATTGCGATCTCACAATTGGAGAAAAATGACGAGTAGCTGAAAAAATGGAACCAATTGATGCGATATATCGCATGCCGTTCTGACACAAAATATGGCGTCCATTGAATCACCTCCGCGATTATTTTTGAATGAGTGGTGAAACTTAGCAGAATTTTTCGAGGCAAACTGGTTATTTTCTTTGTTTATTTTCTTTCACAAAAAATAAAACATGAAAGGAGATTTTGCAAATCTTCGCACCTTTCGACAGTGGTCACCGATGAAGCGAGCCGACCGATATTCATCCCTTCACAATCAAGTCAACTCATCATCATTTCTATTTTCTTTGTTTCAGCGTCCGATATCCAGACCGTTTGGGAAACTCTAAGACAATCTTACACAAGTTATCGCTTGCGGAAAAGGGAAAACGAAGCACTGGGGAAAGCACCACCGACGTGGAAGTACGCTGAAGCCATGTCGTTTTTGGAACCTTACCTGCTGCATAAAAGGAGGAAAAATCCGGAAGTCCAGAATGCAAACGCCACGGAAGGACAAAAGATTCTCTCAGAGAAACCTGGTACGAGTGCCGACCTTCGTTCCAATCCTGGTACCTGCGACAAATCAAACAAACCTGCTTCGAACATCTACCACGTCTCCAGTCCTTGTCCCTGCGACAAACATCGCCTCTGCAACCACGGCGGCTTACCCACTCCCTCGGATTCATCCGTGACGATTTCTTCAGTGGACGCAGACGACACGGATGAAAGTGTCTCTCTCTCATCATTCTGCATGGCCGACGCTGATTCTGTAAAGGGACAGATGTTAGAGCTGCCTCAGACGCAAAATGAACCACCTCATACGCAAGATGAGCCACCTCCGACGCAAGATGGGCCACCTCCAGCGCGACGAGTAAAGTTGGAACCATCGGAAGACCAAACGATGAGCCATGGATCTCCACCGACTCAGTCAATGACATCGGAGTCTTTTGCGACGGAACAAGCGAGTCAGATGTCGCCTGTAGAGTACCGACCGAGAGTATCACCTCTTGAGGAAGTGACGTTGAACTCACACAATGTGCAACAACTGGGTCAAGAGTCAACACTGACCCAACGAGTGAGTCAGAAGCCATCACTGGCTCAACCATTGAGTCAGGAAACACCATTCATCCAACGAGTGAGCCATGAGCCATCACTAACTCAGTCATCGAGTCAGGGATCACCACTGATTCAAAGAGTGAGCCATGAGCCATCACTAACTCAGTCATTGAGCCAGGGATCATCACTGATTCAAAGAGCGAGTCATGAGTCATCGATGACTCAGCCATCGAACCAGAAATCACCTCGGATCCAACTGGCTCAACCACTGATTCGAGAGTCACCAAAAATCCAAAGAGCGAGTCGCGAGTCACTACCGGTACAGCAAGTAACATTGGAGTCATCTTGGTCAGAGCAAGTCAACTCGCAGTCACCTTCAGAGGAGCGCATGAGACGAGGATCAACCTCTTTCGAAGGAGTGATGTCCTCAACGGCCCAGCAAGTTAGTCACGAGTCACCGCAAATCGGCAATACGTCTTTTTCCAGGCGTAAGGTGAGTTTGGAGCCGTCTTCAAGGGAGGGATTAAGATCAGAATCATCCCCGGATGCTCTAGCCCTGTTTTTTGTAGCTACCGAAGCGACAGTCCGCCGACTCAACCCCGTCTTGCAAATTCAGGCCAAAGCCAAAATCAGCGCTCTCATGGCGGAGCTTGAGATGCAGTCCCTTTTCCCGGACGCTTAAATCAATATTTTCAATTAATAACCCTCCTTCTTCTCCAGACTTCCTTCCTCCGTCTCTTCCCTTTCTTCTTCTTTCCCCTACTCCTTCTCTCCTTACTCTTCCATCTATTTCTCCTTTTACTTCCTCTTTTATTCCTCCTCCTCTTTTTCTTGCCTCATTTCATACTCTCATCCTTCCCTCTCTACCCTTCTCCTTCTGTACCTCTCCTTTTCTCCTTCTCTCCTCCTACCCTCCGATCACGCGGGCTTCGAGTACCACATGGCATCATACCTGTGAATTGTCACAAATTATCTTTGACAAGTTGTAAATATGATATTCTGACAATGAGACTTGAATTTCATGTTCCTTTCTTTGTGTGACATTTAAATCGAATGAATTTACGAATATTGAATTGTACCTGAGCTAAAAATCTTCCGGGATCTTTTTGTTTTTTTTCCCAACTGTATGTAATCCGGTTGATGAGAATCATTTAACTTATTTCGTTTCCTTTTTAATTTTATTTTGACACGAGTTTTATACATTAAAACTTTAAGTTTAGCATGGTTGTTCCTATAATTTACCATTTTCTGGTGACAACAGTTTGTCACATAATGTAGTGATGTCGATGCGACTGAGTATTAGATTTTAACAACACAAACTTGTAAGTTATTCATTCAAAACTGAGCTCATATTTTATAATATCTGCAAGCCTTAACTTCATTCTGTATTTTCATTTGAGTCCTTGCTTTTCTGTGACTATGAGATTGTTGGTTTGCAGGTGTTACTTTAAATGATGTGTCCTCATTTCATTTTAAGTAAATTCCACTAGATTATAGTTAAAATATTGACTTTTTTTTTAAAGATAATTTTGTTTTGTACTTAAATTTTGATAGGTACAAATAATGTAATTCGCGTGTCGTAATACCGAACGCATGTGATTGAGAATGTGTACCTTGATGTGTGTGATAAACTTGACTGATTATTGATTAATCCTCTAATAATTTGTGTAAAATAAGTGTTTAAAATGTTTATTTTTTTCAAGAATACACGTTATTTGCTCGAAAAATTGTTCACCTAATCAATAAATTGCTGTGACGAGAGGAATTTTAATTCATAATGCAAGAATTTCCTTTTTCATCAATATCCTTAAAGCATACTCTACTTACTGCGGAAAGTATATTGCCAAAGTTATTCATGCGGTCTCAATGCGTCATATCCATGATTTTAGTCGAAAAATTCGTATCTTTAATTCAGACGTTGCAAAGCTCCGTTCATAATTCGGCTTCTTTAAACAAAAGTAACAACCGACACATTTTTGGAGGAGGGTTCAGAAAAATATAAATTTTTAAGAGTTATATTAAACTAAATTTAAAAGGCACAGCGTGTTAGAAAGCTGAGAGAAGTGGCTTTTCAATACTTTTTATAGATTTTCTTTATCTATCTTAAGTTAGGAGATGTTGAATAGGTATAGGCAAACTTACGTTCTGGACGATCCTCGTATAACAAAAATTCTTGAAAAGAAAACTATTGTTCACGAAAAAGGATACAGTCTTAGATTATTTTTGGTGGGAAGCATGCTCGACTAGTAAAATTTATCTGAATAGTAATTCAATCAGCGAGAACGAAAACACACCAACTCGAAAAAATGAAAATAATCAAGACAAACACAAAACTGCACAGTATGTGAAGAAGTTAGTTATATTAAATATTATATAAGTTAAATATTTTTGCTGCCGAAAGACAAGTAATTTTGGACACTTTAAAGGTCCAAGTTGGAACATACGCGCTAACTTCAATGCCCTTTATGTAAATTAACTGTTTTTAATGGAAATTGAGCATTTTCGAGTTACCGAGTTGGTGTGTTTTCGTTCTCACTGATTCAATTAAGGAAGTCGTAGTATTCAAACAACTATTTTTGGGCTTTTAATTTTCCTAAGTATTAGAAAACTAAATTTGATATTTTAAGGGATATTAACATGTAACATCACTTAACCTCTTGTAAATTTTATTTTTTAAAAAAAAACACTCGATAAAGGACTCTCCCTTTAAAAGTCTCAACAGCTGTGGGCGTGTGTACATTTTTTTTTGGTTTTCTTCCTTATACAACAATTTTAAAACTATTTCTCCTGAACAGTAGTTGAAAACATGGAAGTAGCAGTTGGTAGACGCTGGCGTCGGCTCTCGGCGCCTGATCTTTGTGCCTTGTCCAGTCGCATGCGACACGTGCGACGAGACAATAACAATAAAGTAAGATGACGATACTTGCAAAAGAATTCTTGACCCTTAATCTCTGCTCAACGAAACTAGACAGAGGGCTCAAGCATCGAAAGTCTCGTACAGCGACTGCCACATTGTAAGGATGCGACCATTTCAACTCGTGGGATCTATTTTGGCCTAACCGCCCAATTGAAGGCTAAACAATGGCCGTTGTCTACCGCAGAGATTCCAATCTAACGCAGAGCTTCGACCTCCCTCTCCATTGCTTGTTCGAAAACAGATAATACGCTTTGGCAATGCTATTTTCATTGTTTATTGGGATTCTCACGATTATCATGGGATTTTACATTTAAGCGATTTTACTTTAAAAAAAAAAACATATGCAATTCTATATGCACATTGCCGAATCTGAAATTTATCAAAGTAGCTACAAATTAAAACGGCTGAATGTTTTGTAAAATCCTTGTAGAAAAATCTAGTGCATCACGATGTGATTTTTTAATTTACATTCGTATTTTCCAAGGACTTATGATTTATGTACTTAAATTTTCCCATGGTGGGTTTCAAGGACGCGTCAAGAGTCTTGTGTCTACTACATGTTAAAATAAATTTTTCGTTGTAAGGATCGAATTTCGGTTCGCACGGATAATCAAGATTTCCAGTCCAGATAATCGATTTTTTCAGTCTTATAACCTGAAACTCTGTCCCGATGACCGCGTTCTTCAGTACAACTACGAGTCATGGTACTAACGGCTAACCGAAACTTTGGTTGGCTGAAAAGTCCGGTTACCTGGATCGAAATTTTTGGTGTTCCATGAACCGAAAGGCATCTCTTCATGCGCTGGAAGCGGTATATTTGTTTGAGGGAAAATTTTTACAAGGTTTATAGCGATTATGCCCGTATAAAGGCAAGTTCCACCGCTCTCTCAAACGAAAATTGTCAACCAACAATGTAGTCATGGTTGAAGGAAGGAAACCTCGAGGGGAAGGGGCTGCTCATACCCCCCTCCCCAACGCACGACTTTTACGTGGCTGAAAAATGCTTTTCGATTTTTGTGGATGCAAATGCCTTCCTTTCCGCTCCTCCAAAAAAAAAAAAAGTACCAAGGGTGAGCTAAAATAATCTCTCTCTTTTGCACATGACCCTGGCTCATATTGAAATTCATGAGTGGAATGGAAGAAGATTTGGCAATTGAATAATTATTGCAATTACAGTGAAATTCACAAAGCAAGAACAGCGACGTACTCTGCCGGGAAATTATTCATGAGTTTATATGTCGAATGATACTTTCCTTATCAATTGCATTCCTCTTAAACTTCTTTTAAGTGTTTACTTCTATAGCGTCCTCTCAGCCGATAAATAATTTTATCAAAAGAAAACTTAAGAACTGTACAGTTAATTCTCCCAACTAATACGCCTAATTAATGTCCGTGAACTCTATTATCTGGTGAGTGAACAGATTTTCTCCCGAGTTTTCAGTCGATTCGCATAACACTTTCAGCGCTAGTTTCGACTTGGCAGCCTTTCAAAACAAACTTGTGGTTTATTTAGCGGCACTTTTGCTACTGTTTTGTTTTCTTTTCAATTACACATGTTTCTGAGTTTAACGTTAAACCTGATCCTCAGCGCCGCGGTTTTACTGTGGTACTTCATTTACCGCTACCAAAAGAAATACGACTATTGGCGTGATCTCGGCGTACCATTTGTTGGTAAATCGGGGGACATAATTTACGAGACTCGTAAACACAAGAGTTTTGCGATTCAGGACCGTTACAATGAGTTGGCGCCGTACCCTTATGGGGGGATTTTTCAGGCTGCCAAGCCGTACTTATTGGTGCGGGACCCAGGGTTGATCCAAAGAATCCTCGTCAGGGATTTTTCCCATTTCACGGATCGTGGCATAGCCTTTCACGAGGAAATCGACCCTCTCAATGCTAATCTCTTCAATTTGGGTGGTCAACGATGGAAGAAAATTCGATCGAAATTGGTTCCGATCTTCAGCACTGGAAAGCTGAGGTCAATGTTCTCGAAAACGGAGCAGTGTGTTCTAGCTCTCAACAGGTAATCAAGCTGTGGTGCTCCACAACTCTTTAAAATCGAATGCGAACTTGTTGATTTTTATTGCGCCATGAGAGTAGAAGTAAATATTAGCCGCAAACCATCTGGACTTTTTTTTGAAAACAAGCTCATCGAATCAATTTTTAGTAAGAAAGGGCATATACCCCAATGACACAATGACGCTTAAAATATGTTTTTGAAATACTTCTGAAAACAATAAAATGTTCCAGTTACGTTGCTTTAAAACGGGAGAAAAAGCTAAAACATTTGCGTGACACTAGTGCGTTTTTAGAACGTTTTAAAGTCATATTTCAATGATTTTAAAACATTTTTAAAACGCTTAATGTCAAATGACATTGAAAGTTTTGAACACAGTTTTCAATCATTTTAAAAATCACTTTACAACACATGAAACACACTGTTTTATGAAACATTTTTGAAAAGTATAAAAATTAGTCAATAAATATTTCATAAATCATGAGGTTTTTGTTAAAAAGGGAATTCTCAAAAACATTATCGAAATCTCTCGATTTTTTTTTAAAAAAAAAAAAAAAACAAAACAAGTAAACAGCATATATTTCTAACACCTGTCAAAGGTCTTTCATAAATAATAATTTTTTCTGCGACAGGTATTTATCTGAAAAGCTTGTGAATTCGTCCGAGTTTGAAGTGCGAGAACTGATGCAGAAATTAACGACCCAAGTGATCGGAACATGCGTTTTTGGATTCAACGTCGATTCCATTTCTGACGAGGATACCGAGTTTCGGAAATTGGAGCGGCCGCTGACTCCAGGTCAGTGATAGAAATTTTTGTCAATTCCATTCTATTTCTTGATATTCTCGACGCCAGTATATTTGGGACATTTTTGGTGAAATTCACTTTCGAGTTACGTAAATCCAAAATTTGGCAAGCGCCAACAGATGTTGCCAAGATTGTGAGATCGTTTTTCTCATTTTACCTTTCAAGAATCAAGTGGCTTGAGAATTACAACTCTGTAAATCAGACCAAAATTTCATCATCTTTCGGCCAAAATGTCATAAGTGAAATTTTCGCTCAGACGCCATGTTGCCGGATACCTTAACGTTTTTTTGATTTTTTTCTTTAAATCTTTTGCACGCATATGAAAATTTCAGGGATTAATTTTGACGACAAAAGAAATATTAGGAGACATTGTTCGGTGATTCTGTTTGTTAGTTTCTCCGTAAAAAGTTTGACAAGTTTGAGAGGTTTGGCAACGTTTTCTCTCTGCACACATGGTGCTCGTGTGTGATACTTAGGACTGAGGGAAACGATTTGAGAAATGCTCGTCAATAAAATCTCCATGAACGATGGCATGGAGGTTTTCTTGAGTAAGATACTCCATAAACAATCTTAAAAGTACCTACTTGATGATCCTCACCAGAATTGGAATTTTCTCTCTTTATCATGTTTTTATCTCTTGGATCAACGACCTAGGATTCATTTTTATGAAACTGACCCAAACTGCAAGTCAAAAACTTGATCAAAATATGAAAAATCTCGAATCAAAATTGTCCAATTTACGCGCCTTTCGTGGGGTCTGGGTGCAAGTTACAACACTTTGAAATCATATGGAAAATAATGAAGCAACACATCCTGTTCATGTTCATGTATAGGTGTCTTAGTTAGACAATACTTGGACCGAGTTTAACAGAAAGGAACCAAGCCACATCAGGTATTGCCAAAAACTGGGCAGTTAAATTTTTTACGAGAGAACGTTTGTGCGGATTCCTTTGAAATTTTTAAGGAATTTTCTTCAAACTATGGAGATTTTTCTCTGAAATTTGCACGGAAATCCGCGCAATCGTTTTCATGTTAAAAATTAAATTGCCCGATTAAAAGGCAATAGCTGATGTGGCCTGGTTCCTTTCTGTTTAACGCGGTCCATTTTAGGGGAAAAAGAATCCGAAATCTGATTCACCCGCAGCATTTAAAAAACGAATTTACTAGTTAGAGGTAATTCAAGTTTTTGTTGAATATTCATACTCATTACTCTCGTGATATTTGAGAATTTTTAAAGTGTAAGTTTTCATTTTCTATCACGGTTGCAGGTCCGCTAAAATTTCGCCTTCGCCAAATTCTCCGCTCGATCCACCCGAGGATGCTGGTCTGGCTTCGGTGGAAGGGGTTCAACAAGGAGGTTGAGGATTTTGTCATGAATGTCACGAGAGAAGCCGTTAAAAACAGGGAGGTCAACCAAAATAAGCGGGATGATCTCATACAACTCATGGCCAATTTGCAGCATGAGGAACGCCGGGAACTTCAGGATCAGACCACCGAGACCTTTGCTGGTCAGTCATAATTAATCAGTTGAATTAAACTTCAAAAAGAAGCTGGTTGTATTGAGCCGGTATATGCGAGCTTCAGATATAGGTCCACGGATACATCGTAAAAATAGTCAGACATTAAATTGAAAAAAAAGAAGAAAAAAAGTGTCAGGTAATTTTAATTTTGACAACTACCCTTAGAGACCCCAAGCCGGGCAAATTGGCCGGGTTATCTCCTCTGGAAGAGCTATGGGTCCGATAAATATGAAAAAAAAAATCATCCAAAAAAAAAAATAAATAAATAAAAATAAATAAATATATTATATACACAATTGATACAAATCCACAAAATCCAATCAAAAGAATCAGACATCAGATTTTGGAAAAGGGAAAGGAAAAAATCGAATGTCAACACAGCCAAATAAAGATACAAAAGACATTTATGGGCCTCGTTTATTTTTTTTATTTTCACCCCGAATAAGAGCGACTTCGCACTGACAGCACAGGGTGGAGCATTGCGAATTTATGCTTCGCGTCGTAGCCCCTTCAATTTTGCAGACGCAACACGGACATCCATCGAGCACGAATAGTTGTATCTCTGCGCCGTTATCAACGCGCGCTCTTTCCCTTGGTCTATTTTCAAATTGTGTTTGTTTCTGTTTATCTTCTTTTGGTAATGCTTCAAGGGCTACATGAGTAATCCAGCTGAGGATAGGATAGACGTATTCAGGCCCTGTTCTTGGAAATTTTTCGCAAAGAGCGACACCTCCCTAGCGGATATGAAAAACCTTCTACGGATTTAGGAAGTGCTATAACATCGATCAAAATACTTGTTACTCTCCCTCCGCTCTAAACTACTGAATCTATGTATTTTGACCATAGTTTAAGTGAAATGCAAGTAGAAATTCATCTCGAGTAAGTTGTAGTATCGCATTTTTGGTTTTGGTGAAATCAGAGTTTGCGTACTAATTCACTACATTTTCAGATCCTCTTTTCACTGATCACATACTGGCGGCACAATTATTCATTTTTTTCCTGGCTGGGTACGACACAACAGCTACGACACTGGCCAACTGCTTGTACGAGCTAGCTCTGAATCCGGGAATAATGGACAGACTACGTGCTGAGGTCCAGACGATTTGCGACGCCAATTGCGGAAAACTTGACTATGATGCCCTCAGTAGAATGCCTTACATGGATTGCATCATTAATGGTATGTGTGTGTCGAGTAGAACGAAACATCAAGAACTCTGCATAGTGATTAAATCGTAGTTCCTAGTAGTCTACACGTCAGAACGTATACCTACGTTTCACCGTAAATCTTACTTTTACTGAAAAACTCATGGGAATTTCTGGCTGAAAATGTTTTTGAGCTTTTCTTTAATGACGCATAAAAATCAGAGAAATTGTGGCCACATATATTGATAGATGTTGCACAGTCATATTCTTGTAAAAACTGAAAACACTGAAAAACACTGAATTACTTAAGTCAATGTTGCAACCTCAGAATCACGTCCATCCGTCTGGATAACATTGACTAGTGCACTGTCCTTGAGGGAAATTGCAAAAGTTCAATATTACAAATGTTATTGAGCTTTTTCTTAATGACACACAAAAATCATAGAAATTTTGGCCACATATATTGATAGATATTGCACAGTCAAAACACAGTCGATCTTGGGTCGAAAATTTCGATTTTCTGTAGGATTTCAGATGATCCGTTGAACTGTATCCATAGTAATAAGGAACCGCTACCTCTAGCTCATCCATAAAAGCTTCTATCTGCACTGGGAAACCAATGGTTTATACGATGTTTCTAAAATTAGCGAGAAAAACGTATTTTCGTAATGTGGTCTAGGTTCAAGCGCGCGTGAGGTCCTCGAAAAATATATTTATACGTAGATGTGAAATTTTAAAGTATATTTCATCTACTGAGTTTCATGGAGAAATGAAGCGTTAAACCTATTTCCCCAAGTTCTATGTCTATTTTAGCTTCCTTTTTGCCAGAAGCTGTTATAATTTAGCACCTCGGAAGCAAAAATTTGAAAGTGATCAGCTTACGACTATAGGTAAGGCCAGCCAGAAGTTTTCTTTTCACTTTTGTTCGTTGTTTGATTTCTGATTTGCATTTTTCGTCTTGAGGCTTTACAAATGGATCAATTTAGCTACAAATAAAACTAAAACTACGAGGTCAGTTTCTGATAAAAATGTTTTTCATGGTGTCCATAGCTTATTTTTGGGGTTACGTTGACCCAACTTCCCGAAAGTCCTAACTACCAAAGAGAGTCAAGCTGTGAAGATTAATTTCATCAGGCTGACGATCCCCTAAGACGATTTGATGGTTGATCGAAAAAAAAAATGATTTTCATTCCAGAGACGTTAAGAAAGTATCCACCGGTCGGATGGCTTGACAGATTGTGTGTCAAGAACTACACTTTACCGGATGCGTCGTTACAAATTAAGGAGAATTTAAATATTTTGATTCCGGTTTATGCTTTGCATCACGATCCTCAATTCTTCCCAGAACCGCATAAATTTGATCCAGAAAGATTCAACAAGGAAAATAGATCGAACATCATTCCAGGGACATTTCTTCCGTTTGGCGATGGCCCGAGAATTTGTATAGGTATCCTTCATCTTTTTTAGTCAGCTCCACATTGAGTAAAATATTTGTGTTCTCGTGCTACTTTCGATTAATGAAGGAAGTGGAACAAGATTACCAACCCAAATTTCATGTTGATTTTTGTCAAGAGTGGACAGGCATGCTTGATTACCGGGAGGGATATTCCGGTGGGCTTTTCGATATTTAGAGAGATTTTGAATGGATCTCCTTCACATGGCGAAAAAAAAACTGAAATGGGCCGATTCTTAGCACTACTAAGCCAGTATTTTCGGACATTTTTTTGGTCCCAGTCCACCTCTGATAAGATTATATTGAGTTTAACATAGAGGACAATGGAAAAACGTAGAAACTTCCGAATCAACTGAAGGCTTTAGTTACTTTGTGTCCCAATTCCGATAGTTGACCAAACAAGCATTCGTGATATTTTTTCTTTCATCGTCAATGTAAGATTTTGTCAAAGAAAAATATTTTATGCTTTGGTAGGACAGCTATCCAAAAAATGGACACCATTTAAAGAGTACGAGGTAAAAACGAAGTAAAAACGGTAATTTTTTATATGCGTAGACTACCAACATGTCCTGGTATATTCAATTCTGCTCGTTATCAAAAGTTGGATGGATGCGTATTCCACAGAAAAGAGCCGTATGCAAAAACGACATTTTTCGCCCCCCCCCCACTAAAACTTATTCAAACTTCGTCTATCAGTTACTAATACTGGAGCGCTTCTTTTCCCAAATTTTCAGACCCCCAAAAAATTTTGGGGGGGCGCTAGGGGGGGTGGAAGTCAAAACCTGCGACCCTCGATATCTTTCGAACGGAACAAGATATTGAGGCCCGGTTTGGACGAAAAATCGTCTAAAATTGCATACTTAAAGATTCTAAAGGTCAAAATCCCAAAATTAAATTTTTAACTTAACTTATGTGCTTTTTTCAGTTTTTGAGGAAAAACAATTTCTTTTAAACAGATTAAACTGAAATTTCACATTTTTTGATTTGAACCAAAACCAGTTTTTTAAATTGTTCGTCTTTTTCCGCATCCAACGAGTGGTCGTATAAACTGGGGAACCGAACGGTTCTGGAGTTATGATCGATTGAAGTTTCCGCTCAACGCGCGCCGACCGATTTTTGCGCGCAAAAAAGTCGGATTTGACTGTTATCAAATCAGATTTAATGTTCAAACTGAGCAAAATGCATTATTAGGGACTCTTGAGGGTCGCTGAGTCCAGAAATTACAGATACTTCCAAAAAATTCACGTTTTTAAAATTACAGCTTCGTACAGGACCACTGAGCGGCCGGTCGGCGCTCAGTGGGCCTCTAAAATAGCGCTACGGAGCTGTAATTTTAAAAACGTGAATGTTTTGGAAGTATCTGTAATTTCTGGACTCAGCGACCCTCAAGAGTCCCTAATAATGCATTTTGCTCAGTTTGAACATTAAATCTGATTTGATAACAGTCAAATCCGACTTTTTTGCGCGCAAAAATCGGTCGGCGCGCGTTGAGCGGAAACTTCAATCGATCATAACTCCGGAATCGTTCGGTTCCCCAGCTTATACGACCACTCGTTGGATGCGGAAAAAGACGAACAATTTAAAAAACTGGTTTTGGTTCAAATCAAAAAATGTGAAATTTCAGTTTAATCTGTTTAAAAGAAATTGTTTTTCCTCAAAAACTGAAAAAAGCACATATGTTGACTTAAAAATGTGATATCGGGATTTCGACCTTTAGAATCTTAAAGTATGCAATTTTAGACGATTTTTCGTCCAAACTGGACCTCGATAACTTTCTTTGTTCAAGAGATATCGAGGGTCGCAGGTTTTGACTTCCACCCCCCCTAGCGCCCCCCCAAAATTTTTTGGGGGTCTGAAAATTTGGGGAAAGAAGCGCTTCAGTATTAGTAACTGATAGACGAAGTTTGAATAAGTTTTAGTGGGGGGCGAAAAATGTCGTTTTTGCATACGGCTCTTTGAACCAAATTAGGTAGTCACATAAGTAAATGGAATAAGTGAATCAGTATATATCTACAGTCTACACATCTTCAACCTACGTTGAAATTCAAGATGGTGACATCATTCCATGGACATTGGCGGATCCACGCCGCCGGGGGGGGGGGGGGGGGGGGCGTAGGGGGCGTGTGCCTCCCAGTTCGCCCAAAAGATGGAGGAAGAAATAGAGAGGGAAGAGACGGTGGAAAGAAGAAGGATAGGCGTTTAAATTCGGTAATTATTCATGACAAAATTGACTGAAACTGCATATTAGATGTTTAAAAATTTCGAAAATTTCCTGGAGGAGTCCCTTAGACCCTCCTTCCGCTCCCCGCGTTCGAAGTGTTTGGATCCGCCTATGAGTATGGAATGACTCATTTTGTCTTTTTTTTTGCTGGAGGCTCATATTACCATGCAATGCATTTCAACATATTTTAATTTTTGAATGTTCTTCCCCATACCTTTTTATCATGTCACATGCCATTTAAATACTACATCAGTCTATTCTTTGTATTTCAGGAAATAGGTTTGCGCTGATGGAGATACGAGCCGCATTAGCTTTTTTTGCGAATAACTTCTCGCTGCACCCGACGTCGAGAACCGAAGTACCTCTGAGTATTAATAAGAATTCAATTCTCTCTCTCCCGGCAAGGGGTGTCCATCTAAAAATTAAAAAGCGAAAGATGGAATAATTCTGAGAATACACTATTTGCTAACTCAGCCTGTATCCTCTCGTTTGTAAAACAATAACAAACCTCTAAATTTGAATACATTCTGCGCTACAGGAAAGCAGGAAGTCTCTGAAATCTCTGTGTGCTTTGCTCACAATAGAGCCGGTAAAGTTAAAGCGCCTTCATCTTTCGGATATGCAACATGGACGCGAATAGTTGCATCAAGGCGTTGACATGAACATATCGCGACCGCCCGTCCGTCTAATATGCGGCTAACAAAAAGTTAGAAAATCAGAGCCCCTTCATTTTTAGGACACGCCACACGGACACCTCACGAGCACGATAGTCGTATCACGGCGTTGACTCGAACGTGATCTTTCTCAAAACATTAAATATCTGAAGGCGAGAAATTGGTAAACAATGAAGGTTCCAAATAATATTCATGTAACTGCAAATATCTTTCTAAAGTTGTTTTGCATCAAATTTTGAACATACATATTCAAAAACCTCCAGCAAAACAATTATTTTTACACATGATAACATCATGCTTTATCATAGTAAAGTTCTACTTCAAATCTAGTTTTACCAAATAAGTCGATGCCTCCTATTATTTTTATAAATTTTTACATGAAAAAATTTGTAACACGGTCTTAATTAAAGTTGTGTGAGATTATGTTTTATGATCTAGGGAGAATACCCAGACATTTTAAAGGTATCTTCCCTTAATTAGTTGTCCAGTGACAAAATAAAACATGAGAGAAAATCTGGCAACGTGAAATTTCGTCTGGCTGATTCTTGTTAAATCCATCAGATAAGCCTGTCTGATAGTGTTTTTTTTCATCGGTGTTTTCTTTTCATTTGTCTGATAATAAATACTCATACCGTTTCAAGGGGTTGATGTTTGAATCTCCCGTTGTATTAATACTTTCCCCCGTAGAATTTTAAAGAGGTAACGTTTGACGAAACACTATCGTCTCCGTGTAGTGGCCCATCATATTTCCGGCTTATCTCTTGTTCCATGCACTTGCTCATGAAAAATGAAACGATTTCTGAAGAATTCGAAAAAGTTTTCTCGAGTGGCTACAGAGTCCTGATTTAGCGGGACAAAGTAAACCGCGGGCTCAGGGGCACGGCGTGATTAACTAATTGAACGAAGGGGATCGGACTCGACGGAGAGTTATCTGGAAGTTTATAGACTTTGAACTTACGAGGAGCTTAATGTCGCCGGGGGCTGGCTCTGAGAGCTGTGAAATACGAGCATACTCTCTAAGACGCTCCACGGCACGCCATGCGCCAGCACTGCCGTGCTAAGGAAGAACGCCGTATGAGCCTTCAGGCGTTGGCAAACTTCCCTCGAGAAATTACGAATTTACGGGAAAATGTATAATTCATTTTCTTTCAATTTTGCAGAAAATGTTGCTCGTATTTTGGTCTAAAGTGTCTGGAAATTCCAATGAAAAATATTCGTAAGTTTCTTCAAAAACAAATATTTTCCGAGAGGCAATTTGGCAACGTTCGAATGCTCATACGACGTTTTTCCTTAGCACGGCAGAGCACCGGACCCACCGGGCTCCGGTTTTATGTCCCGCGAATTTATTAGTACTTAACGATATTAAAAAAATTGACTTATCACCGGCTGGAGTGCCGGGAAACTCCGCGCCGCACGTCTGCGGTGTGTTTAAAGTATGGAAGCGAATTACACTTTTCACGAATGAAAGCCAAGAGGTGGCTAAGACTCTTAAATGGACGTGTTTAAACGAAAGATATCTGTTTGCATTGGGATTCTTGAAAAAAGACATTTGTAATATTTCAGGACTGCTTCAAAAATTATGTCGGATATGGGGCCACTACGACATTGGAGGAGGGCATGCACGGATCAAAATGAGGAAAACGCAATCTCATTGTTAAGAGACTTGGAATGAAATTCGGTGTATATTTCACTCCGGAGTCTATTATAGCGTTCAAACAACTAGAGGGATATGAAAGTAATGCAAAATTCGCATCATATAAGCGTGGTGCTAAACCCCTCAAATACAGGCACGTAGCCTNGGGGGGGGGGGGGGGGGGGGGGCTTTGCACGATTCTTGAACGAAACACACAAAGCAGATTTAGGAGGGCAGAGATGATTTAATCGAGTAATGCACACTTTGCAATGAATACATAGAGAAATACTTATGAATACATATTTGGATGAATACATGCATAAATTAATACATATTATATGTATGGAGTTAATGTAAATGTAATGTAATGTTAATGTTATGTAATGGAGTGAATTATTCTTGTCGAGAGGCTCATTCCCGTTACAAAAACAACTAGATTTATTGCGCAACTCGACAAAATGCTGCAACCACGAGAGTACGTGTTAGCATTCGAATTGCTTAGGACAAGGCCTGATTTCGGTCTCAGTTCAGAGCATGGCCGTCCAATTGTTGAGGAAAGGGCCACTTCATCCCTGTTAACAAAAAACATTTGTTTTCAATTAAGGACGGCTGGCTTTTTAAACGAAAGACAAGAATTAGGACCGTGTTGCATTGTTCCAAAATCTGCGCTCCCATCATTGAGAAAAGAGGAGGTGTTTGCATCTTGAGGATCGTTTACCCCGTGACGTAGGGTGGTACAACCTGGCCAGCAAAATTTGGAATCCGAAGTATGAATAACGGATCATAACGTCCGATTTTTTTGCTGAAATCAACTCATGATATAATTTCAAACACTTTATACAGAATGACTTTTTTTCCATAAACTACACCATTTCCAAGAAAATCGATGATAGAAGTCGCGGTACCGACCTTTGTCATCAGAAAATCCCAAGATGCCCGAAATGCATTAGGGGGTATGGCCACATGGGCCGCGGTCCATGTCGGCAAGTTTAGGGAGCGGCAAAATGGTGTAATTTTATCAAATGTAGGTATCAAGAAAAAATCTTATTCGGATCTGATCTGAAAAAATTACAAACTAGAAAAGGCGAAAAAATCTCTCTTTCCTGAGAGTTAAAGCATGGTAATTTTTAATTTGTTCGTCTTTCGGTGATACAAGAGACAGCGCCTTTCATTAGTCTAGTTGAGAGAGAAACCAAACACGGAATTTGGCCTGGTACGGCACGGCGCAGAGAGCAATGATGACGATGACTAGAGATGGAAAGGAGGATCCCTCGGCGCGCTGGTCAGTATAAGACACATATTAGCGCCTACAAGACTCCATGAATACTTCACGCATTGCGTCAAACGCAGTGCGGTCATCAGCGGTTGGCGTGAACCGCATAGCGCCTACAAGAGTGCATGAATACTTCACGCATTGTGCCAAACACAGTGCGATTGGCGCGATGGCGATGGCGGAAATTAAAATCATTAAACCACATTCATGTTTATTCTTTCATAATTTTTTCGTTCTTCTCATATAAATGAAAGGCCTCGTCCACACAGAGATAGGTTCACGGAACTTAATTTTTGCGCAAAGTTCCGTGAACTTTTGCTAGGGTTGACAGGGCTATCTCAAAAAATGTGTCCAACACGAGTAAACGCGTCTTATGCACTCTTCCTCCTCCGGCACGTTCACATGATGGTTTGTACCGATATTTCGAAACGAATGAGAAGGGGCGGCAAGTAGGTAAATCCGGCCCTGTGCTTCATATCTCATTTAGGAAATTAGGGAGTTGTATTTCGATGGCAAAAAATGAAATCGAATGAAATAAGTAGCACACTCCTTTACTTTAGCTCAAAGATCAATGGAAAATTCAGCCCTAGAAAAGAAATTGTATTCATCTCTCTATTTGCATCATTATTTCTGTGAATCTTGTGTAAATTCCACTCTCATAGGTAACTTGAATGCACTTTAATCTGGATTTTTCTGGATTAATTTTAGGGCGCAGAAAGTTTTTTTGGGACTCCTCGGCTTCTCTATGTTCATTCTTCGTCAAAATTATTTTGTTCCAGGTCACATTTAAAATAATATGTATTCTCATGCAGGGATCATCAAAGTGTTAGTTACAAAAGTAAATTTTAGAAATCTTAACATTAATTCCTTATCAGGAAAACTTACCCTATTTTGTAGTCAGAATTGCAGCTAGACGTGTGGACCGTCATTATGCCAGGTAGACTTTGTGCCACATCGTTTGTGCAGATTTGCTCTGTCTCAGTACCAAGATTAATAATAACGGCTATCGTTTCACTCTCCAGTGTCCTGAAACAAAATATCCCTCTTCTTGCATTTTTTTTACAATTAGTTATTTGAATTAGCTGGAAATTATCATAAAATACATAAATAAACATTTTTGTAAACATACAAATTATACGTCCTTTTCAAGAATAATCTTATTGATTCACAGCAAATGTTTAACTGAAGGATCGATGAGGAATAAACATTAGCAATGAGCATGATAATGGGAATTAGTATTAGGATTATTATCAGCGAATCTGTATTAGATCTAACCCCAAAAATAACTCCAATGCTAAGGTCGGAAAACGCGTATATCAGAATGCGATGTTGTAAGTCACCTTACTCTTTCTTCTCCTTTATTCTCTCTCTTCCTCTTACTTTTTATAGAAATAGTAACCTAGAGTTTGGTTTCATTAAAATCTTATGTGAATATTTGTCTCACTCATTCCAAAAAAAAAAAAAAAAAAAAAAAAAAAAAAAAAAAAAAAAAAAAAAATCCACAATCAATATGGACTAACTGAAGGGTCTCTCGTGGATTGCCGTTAGTTAGTCCATAATTACCCCCCTCCTCTTTGTCCAACCATCCGCTTCACCAATAGGATCCCTCCATATCCTTTCTGTATTCTGTATCTATAGCTTTGTCTACCAATCTCAACAATCAGCCTGCGGGGCTGATTGGCCACGACTAAGAAAAATATGGCGACGGACTCGGTATATCGACGGTGAAACTACCAAACCACGTATCTCGTTTGCGGTGTTTGAAAATCTACGCTCGCATTTTATTTTTTTGAGGTAGACCAAATCAATATCATTCCTTGAAATTTTCACAGAATTTTCTCCGCACGAAGAGGAAAAATCACAGAAATTTTCAAGACTGGACGTTAAGTAGTTTTTCATTTAAAAATAAAGTATGACAGGAAGTCTGCGACGTCGCAAACCGAGATACGTGGTTTGGTAGTTTCACCGTCGATATGTATTTGAGAACACATGATACAAGCGTGAGCCGTGTTTTTCGGAGGGGTATTTCAGACATGAAATGCACGTACTTATGGCGATTTTCGACGTAAAACATTTTAAAAATCTAATCAGTTGACTATTGCCCGCATGCAGTACTGCAACAAAGGGGAGTCACATCACACCCGGAAAGGTGATTTTCTGTTGACATCACGTTTTTGAAAGTTCATCCGTGGGAAGAATGTTGTTTTACTTTGGTGGCTTGTATGGTAGCTCCCAAGTAGTTACCAGATACAGATAAGTACGATATTATAGCAATGAAGCAGCCCATATCAGTTTAAACAAGACAAAGAAAACATAAGAAACGCTGAAACTGACCTGGTGTACATGAAGACCCACGTGCTTAAAACGTAGGTGTCAAATCTACCGTTACGGATGACATTTGTTTTTCTAAGTTTTACCAACCGCTTGAATGTGTTCAAATGGCTTTTAGGATCCTCCAGTTGGCTTTTCACATTTTTGTAGACGTAGTTTGAGTGGATGGGAAGCCAAGGTTTTTTAGCTGTTGTGAACCCTGCGTAATTTATTTGATTATTAACGAGGCTAGTGCATGTTATAGTTACAGGATATAGTGGCAGAAGACCATAGAATTTACAGGGCTACTAACTATTCGAACTAAACACCCCCCCTCCCAAAAAAACAACAAATTTAAACAAAGTATGCAAACTAAAACTGGGTTCAGTCTCAGGTGAATTTTTGGATAAATGTATTTAAATGGAGGCTCTTGCGTTCTCGCCTCACAGAGCGCTCACACCCTTGAAGCAAGTCAGTAATTTGTCGGCACATAACTCGGTTCAAAGAATCGAGCAACTCTGAAATTTTCCTAAGAGTTTTCTTACATTGGTAGGGGTTGTAGATAGAAAGAAAATTAAAATTACTGTTTCAGGCTTACATATAGATCATCTTGGCATGTGTCATTTGGTAAAATTTTAAAATATACCTCTTACAAAATAGGTAAAAAAATCTTTTACTTCGAGTGGACAGAACTATCTCAAAATTCTCATGTTATATCCTTTATAAACGATTTTCAATTCGTGAACAAATTAGAAGAACTGTTACCGCCATTTTTGGTATTGTCCCACGGCATTGGAGTCCTGGAGGTATCTCTTGTCGTGGTGTCGAACTGAGTTCTTCCGATGTGATCTTGGCGCTGATCTTGTCGGATGAAACTATCTTCCAAACCAAGTTCCATTCCGTAATAGACGTTGAGAATTCCCGGAAGAAGCAGATGCAGCATATTCCACGCATCTACGCTCTCTGCACCAAAGCGAGTTGGTATCCGAGTGTAATCGTGACTTTCTGACTGCATAGTAACGAAAAATTCGATAGTTAGTTCAGTTCTCTAGTCTAGTTTGCTATGTGTCACAATAATGTAGTCAATGAAAAATCTGTTTAATCCAATTGCCTTAAATGGAATTTAGTGATAATGAAGAGAGGAAGTGTGTGAATGTAATGCACGAATTTTAGAAAAACTGAAATTTTCAATAATCTCCATTTAGCTGATGATGATGAATTCAGCTGATGATGATGAATTCAGCTGATGATGATGAATTCAGCTGATGATGATGAATTCAGCTAATGGTGCTGGCCCGAGTGGTCGCCGAAACGCGCCTGAATAAAAAACTTGAGCGAAAGTTCTAGTTTTTTTTAAAATTTAACGAGAATTTAATTTGAATTCCAGCTCAACAAACTTGCAGCTTTGAAATCCAAGAAGTCTTATAATTGAGTGTTGGATGTACGCTCGAGGGCACAAAAAGTACCTATGCAATGTACGTGAGCGCTGGGCACTGACCTGATAGGGCTGCTAAAATCCTTTATGGATGGGCAAAAATAACTCAATTTTCAATTTTTGTCACTCAGTATTGGTAGGTAGTTGTTTTCTTTTTTTCCAAGAAAAGAGAGGGTGCCGAAAAATTTCCATAAACTAAATTAACTCTTCCTCGTTTCGAAATCAGTGAAAATTAGCAAGCATGTTGCCAATAATGTATATCCAAAAGTGAACGAAAATCGTTACTTAGTACCAAACGAGAGGACGCCAAAAGGGCCATTCATAAAACACATCGAAATGTTAAAAATAAGCAACCAACGTATGTATTCCACGAGAATACGGTATATTACCCGGGTATTACCTCCGATGTCATGGCTCGATGAAAGGAGCAAAGTCACAGAAAAAGGGGAAAAAAGAAAAAGGATTTCTAGCCGAAGCCTTAACCGATTACTCGATCGACTTTTTTCTTCCTTAAAAATACTTACTGCCCAGTTGGGGACGCCACTCGCAGGCAGAGTCCTGAGATAACTTTGTATGGAATCATTTATATTCGTTGCATTTTCTTCGTAATCCTTGAACTCAAACATGAAGTTAAACGGCATCTGTGCCATCACGTAAGTCGAATTACCCATATACTTGGCTTTAAATTGTGGTACGCTGAAGTCTTCCACAGATAAGAGTCTGCGAAATAAAAAGAATAGGCGATGGAGAATGGATATGAAGCTTAGTTTATGCTCTCGGGTAATGACCGTGCACCGAGAAGAACTTAAAATTTTAAGGAAACAGCTTTACAATTAAGGAAAATTAGAACTTAGAACAAATGCAGCTTAACCAAGATAGGGAAGACAGTTAATATACAGGGTTATTCAAAAGTTACGCACCACTGGCCATAACTTTAGTTCTAATTATGATATCGATTTGCGGTTTGTGGCGTCCTTCCTCATATCGAGGGGGAAACTTTTTGAGGTACTTTTCAGTTCTTCACCCCCCCCCAGGGGGAGGGGGGCAACTCAAAAATTTCAGATGGCAACCCCCATCATGTGATACATCGTTAGAAAGAGCATGATAAAAGAAAATTTTTGGCGCCAACCGGAAGTCGATCTGACCCCCCTGTCAAAAGTTAGGGGGGTCCAAAGGTTATCTAGGGGGTCCGTACCTTCATTTTTTAGAGTAGCTTCGGCGGCTCTTGGACATACCGTTTCTCTTTTCAAAGAGTCCTCGAATACTCCAAGTCTGATACCGAAGTCTTCATATTGCCCCCGGGCCACCACAGCCCCCCCGTAGGGGGGGATGGGCCTGTTACAATGAAACATTGCATTAAAATGCGAAAAGTCACAGAAGAGCTTCAAACTTAGCATCAAATCCGAGTGGAACTTCTTGCCGATGTTAACGCAAACGCAGCCTGCGACTTTAAAGTGAGTTTTCAAAACTCTTAGCCCCCTGCCCCCCCTCATTTTTGGTTGCAGAGCGGGTAAAAACCGGGAAATTCACTACAAATAATGCCCGAAACTAATGTCCAACTTGAGGAGGACCCTTGAAACGTTGCGATCAGTCGGAGCATTGAAATACAAGGACTGCCACCCCCTTAAAGTACGGAAACATCCAAAACACCCCCGCTGCCCCCCTCATTTTTCGTTGCGGAGCGGGTAAAAACCGGGAAAATCGCCAGAAATGATGCCCGAAACCACTGTAGAACTTGACGAGAACCCTTGAAACGTTGCGCTCAGTCGGAGAACTGCAACACAGGAACTGCCGCCCACTTTAAGGACGGAAACATCCATAAAACCCCCGCTGCCCCCCTCTTTTTTCGTTGCAGAGCTGGTAAGAACCGGGGCATCATTTCTGGCGATTTTCCCGGTTTTTACCCGCTCCGCAACGAAAAATGAGGGGGGCAGCGGGGGTGTTTTGGATGTTTCCGTACTTTAAGGGGGTGGCAGTCCTTGTATTTCAATGCTCCGACTGATCGCAACGTTTCAAGGGTCCTCCTCAAGTTGGACATTAGTTTCGGGCATTATTTGTAGTGAATTTCCCGGTTTTTACCCGCTCTGCAACCAAAAATGAGGGGGGGCAGGGGGCTAAGAGTTTTGAAAACTCACTTTAAAGTCGCAGGCTGCGTTTGCGTTAACATTGGCAAGAAGTTCCACTCGGATTTGATGCTAAGTTTGAAGCTCTTCTGTGACTTTTCGCATTTTAATGCAATGTTTCATTGTAACAGGCCCATCCCCCCCTACGGGGGGGCTGTGGTGGCCCGGGGGCAATATGAAGACTTCGGTATCAGACTTGGAGTATTCGAGGACTCTTTGAAAAGAGAAACGGTATGTCCAAGAGCCGCCGAAGCTACTCTAAAAAATGAAGGTACGGACCCCCTAAATAACCTTTGGACCCCCCTAACTTTTGACAGGGGGGTCAGATCGACTTCCGGTTTGCGCCAAAAATTTTCTTTTTTCATGCTCTTTCTAACGATGTATCACATGATGGGGGTTGCCATTTGAAATTTTTGAGTTGCCCCCCGCCCCCCCTCCCCCTGGGGGGGTGAAGAACTGAAAAGTACCTCAAAAAGTTTCCCCCTCGATATGAGGAAGGACGCCACAAACCGCAAATCGATATCATAATTAGAACTAAAGTTATGGCCAGTGGTGCGTAACTTTTGAATAACCCTGTATGTCAAGATTATAACATGATGCGTATCATGATAGTCACAATGCCACCAAAAATAGGTGAAAAATGTCCCAGACCTATGTCACGAGTGTGATTTGATCTCCTGAGTCCAAAAATGACCTCCATTTTTCCTACCTTCCATCAGTTTTCTGGGATAATCCAAGAAAATGCCGTGGAAAGTTTTTCCTGCCGCTTTCCGAGAGAAAAGGCCAAAAAAGGATACTTCCTGTAGCCTGTAGATGAATGATTCAGATGTATTTTGCGCGACTATGAGTCCGAGAATGTCTTCAAATTATTTTCATCACTTTGTGGACTATTAGGAGATCAAAATACACCAGTATCCAAAGTCTGAGACATGTTTATCTATTTTTGTAGCACGTGTCAAGGATATAAGCAGTGGTGTACCTTGTATGACCGTCCTTATTTTTAAATTCCTCGAGAACCATCCTCCACTCATGAATCAAATCAAAATTTTCCTCTTGAAACATCGTGTATACATGATTAAGAGCCATGAAACCTTTGTCGCCATCAGGGTTGAGGGGCTCGTCGCGAAAATGCGGTGCCTCCATGAGCCAGCCTGGAGCATCAATCCGGAAGCCATCTACCCCCAGTTCCAGCCAAAATCTCAGTATGCTCTAAATTTACAGGAGAAATTATTAGACAAAATTACAGTTGAAAAATGAGAATTTTCCTAATTTACCATTCGGGGTAATTAAGTTTGATATATACTGACGGAATTTTGCCAAGATTGGAATCATGAAACTAATGCACGGACATGAGTAATATCCTCTGCAGTTTTTGATGAAACTCGAAAAATTCACTTAGCTTTATTTTGAAATCATAATTTATAGAATTAATTCCTTGGATTAAAGTTTAGATTTGTCTGTGACTCGTTTCCCTGGTAAAAATTGGCACTAGAATCTTTGTTCCAAAATACCATGGACCTACAGCCGGCTGTAAGATTTCCAATAGCTTCTATAGCCGGCAACACAATTTCTTATAGCCTTTGCAACAGCCTGGCGATAAAGTGTATGCTAAACCGGCTAAACGTCACTAATTACGGATGCTAGGACTTGGTGAGTTTTTGGACTACCGCTCTCTTTTTGGGCCGAAGTATCTTGATTTATTTTGCGAGGAAAGCTCCGTACTTTTGAAGGATGCCTGCCATTCCTAATATGTTGGAGCGCCTTCAATTTCGTATGATACTGTGCTATACCTCTGGTCTGAAATAGTTGCTTCAAGCGACGCGGTACACTGCGGCGCGGCGCGGCGGGCGGGCGGGCAGCCAGCGCTGAACGCGCATTGGCGCCTACAAACCTAACAGGGATACTTCACGCATTGCGCAATGTGTGAAGTATCCCTGTTAGGTTTGTAGGCGCCAGTGCGCCGCCGCTCCGCTTTGTGTTAGGCTCCAATATTTAATCTCGCAGAGTCAGCGTTTTTCAACTCATGACTTTGAAATGTTTGCCCACTCTGTATGGATTATTCTCATTTTAATTGATGAAAAAGAATGTGTAGTAAAGGATAATATAATGTGCGTTTTGTAAATATTAAGGTGATTCCGTACAAACTTAAGGATTTACAAAGCACAAGAATTTCTACACAATTTCTTATATTTCTTTATAGCCGATGGCGAAAACGCATCAGCCAGGCGATAAAGTGTAAAGCCCGGCGATAGGAACTATAGCCCGGCTGTATAATTTTTTATCGCTTCGTGTAGCCCGGCCATATGATTTTTTCCACTTTCTACAGCCAGCTATATAATTTTATATCGCCCTCTTCAGTCGGCTATAAGAACTCCTATGGTATTTTGAAACGCAGCTCCTCTCGCCAATTTTTACCAGGGTTACTTTTCTGTACTTTCGGTTAAGAATCTCATTTTCCTTTGAATGGATGTTTTTAAACGGCCCTTAAGAGCACTAATATCTTTATTCCAAGTTTTTCTTCTCTTTACATCTTCATCGGACGTTTCTCATAAGAATCTTGATACAAGATCAGGAAAGTTTAGGCGTCATTCCTCACCCTTTAATAGTAAATTGTGTTATTTATACGCTTGTAGTGACAAACTTATACAATTCATCTCGTTATATTTACATTGATTTCTTCACGGAGTGCCGTGTTTCGGTAGTTGAGATCAGGTTGTTTGATTGAGAAAACATGGTAGTAATATTGCCTCCGTTTTTCATTCCATGCCCATGCAGACGAACCCTCGAAAAGACTTATCTGGAACAACAGGGAAGAGTGATTTTAGTCACATACTTGAGAGCTGGTCAAAACAAAAATATGGTGGTACTCAGATCATGATGACGCTTGACGTTTCTTCGGATTGATGCAATGACTTACACTAACTCCTCTGCTATAATTTTCCAACAGCGATGAATGGTGCCATCAAGGGGTTTTCCAGACTTGATGCAGACTTGGCACATTACCGTCGACGTAACTGAAAGGTCATCTGGAAATAGGGCACATCGGTGACCGCGCCCACGGGAAAAGTGACCCCTACTCCATCGGGATGAACTTTTAAGTTGATCGATTTTTGTCGAGTTGGATGAAAAAATCAGACATTCAGATTTCGACAGAAAAATTTTTTAGGGTCAATTTGAAGGTTATCTGTGACATAACATGTAGCATGTTCATGGTGAATATGCAAGCTCTCATAGGTGGATCCGGTTCACCCGAAAAATAGGAGAGAAAAAGAGAAGGAAGGAAGAAAAGACGAAACGAAAGAAAAAAGAAGGAAAGATGCTTACATCAGATAATTATTCATGACGAAATCGACTCAAACTACATATTAAATGCTTCAAAAAGTCAAAACTTTTCTGGGGGCTCCTGGACCCCCTTTACGCCCCCCCCCCCCCCCGTCCGAGGTGTCAGGGTCCGCCTATGCGCGTTCTCATCTGGGAACTTTCATCAGTTGGTTACTTTAAATGTTTTCCTCTTTAAAAAATTATGATTAATTACAAAATAATTCAAAATTTTTACTCGAAAGCACTACTGACCGCTGACGGCTACATTAATTTTCACGCATTAAAGATTTTCGCGTGTCATCTCTCATCTTTATTCTTTTTTCCTTTTTTTTCTTCTTTCTCTCTCACCTTTTTTCATATATGCATATATGCTTTCATTTATACCTTTTTTCAATGTTGCCTTGATGGCCAGAGATTCAATTTTGTAATTCGAATCGTGAATTTCACAGCTTTTTCACCCCATCAGAAAAGATTACCTAAATAAATCCAAATAATAAGCTTCGACGATTTAATTTTTTAAGTTGCAGTTACATAGTACATTTTCTCCCTTACCCAGTTGTTTGGAACATCCGTGTAAGATTCGTTGATGATCCGCCCATCAGCCCAAACGTAGTAATCCTTGTATGGAGCCATACCCTCCTGGGACAACTTAAACCACCCGTGCTCGTCACTGGAATGATTTGGCACAAAATCTATGACCAATTTAAGCCCTGTGGTAAATAAGTACGTACATTTTTTTCAATTGAATTGTTTCCTGGAGTTTAAGTAGATAATACAATTATTTGGACTGGATTGTTAATAGAAGTTATGTTTAAGGTATACGATTTTGATGGTAATTTTGGAATTGATTGCCGAAGGAGGGTACGTGAGTCCTCTCTACCATTTTTAAGTTACATGGCTTCCAATCCCGTCAAACTGAAACAAAAGCGCAGTTGGGAGAAAAATGGATTTGAAATGTGAAGAAAATGGTAAAATTATCATTTAATGTGACAAAGGGGGCGGAAAGAGAGGAGGAGGGTGGAGGGCAAAATAGGTTTAAATTATCAGATCATACCTCGCTCCTTTACCGCTTTTATCAGGTTCTCAAGATCTGTCATTGAACCGAACATGGGGTCCGGTGATCTGTAATCTGAGACATCGTAACCAAGGTCCCGCATCGGGGATTGGTAAAAAGGCTGAATCCAAATTGCGTCCACTCCGAGATCAACCAAGTAATCCAGTTTCTCGACGATCCCTTGAAAGAAAACTTTTTATTCTTTATCTCTTTGAGTGTTACCTGATTTATTTATTTTTTCTTCCTGGTTAATAAATAAATCAGGTAACACTCATTTATCAACCTGGTAAAATGAAAAATTCACAAAGCTTAATCTCTTTGTTGAACGACAGGAGAAAAGATGAAATCAGGAGATAAAAGTTTAATCAGAATATTTCCTGATAGAGTGATCCTACAGGAAATCAGGTGAGTCCTCGAGTATTCCAATGAAAAATTGTGTCTCAGCATGAGAAACGGTCGATGATTAAACTTAACAAGCGGTCTAAAAGAACTAAATGTAGTCACATGATCGAGTTCAGAGCTTGCGCATGGAGAGAATAAAAAACCGACGTGTTTCACTCAGTAGCCATTTCTAAAATACACAGATTTCTATTTTAAGCACTTGGATGTTCAGTGTTCACCCTTTCTAGATTTTTAATTTTTAAAATTTGTTCCCTCGTTAAAAATAGACCAGTAAAAACTCTTGAGAGTGTTTATCTCACATAGGAATGCTGCATGAAATTACTTAATCAGATAAAATAAAAGAGATCTTATTTGGAATATACTTTGGGTGATGTTACATGCTTACTTGAAGAATGTAAGTTTTGCAATGATCCAGATCAGAGAGAAAAGATTGGAAAAGTGGGGCATTTGGAGTATTTTTTTTTTTTTTTTTTTTTTTTTTTTTTTTTTTTTTTTTTTTTTTTTTTTTATCAGAAAGCTTTCACAAACTTGTACTAAAATGAAATATGTATATATAGAGTTTGCATTTAACATAGTTATTTTTTAGCATCCAATTGGAGTATTTGCCAATTTACCTCCGCGAAAGCTTCACGAAATCCTAAAATCGCAGGCCAGTTAAAAAGTGTCACAGCTTTCTAGCATCGGCTATATCTCACCTACACAGGCACACTAACATGCACTTGCACAAAAAGTAATGCACATATGAACTTTTTTGGCCTACCTCGCAAATCGCCGATTCCATCTCCATCTGAGTCTTTGAATGAGCGTGGGTAAATTTGATACTGGAGCATACATTCATACCAGTCCAGGTCTCTATATGCAGTTGAAGCACTAATAATCCCAATCAACACTACTATTGCATGTAAAAACCTCATTTTCCTGAGAAATCATCAGAATAATTTTGGTAAAAAAGACAAAATGACGGTCCATCTTTATAACCTTAACAATGCTTCCTAATTTATTGTGGACACATATAATCAGACTTAAATTGAAAGTTCCAAAGCATGAACATGTCAACAGGCATTTTTTCTATTCCGAAAAAACCCGGTATGAAGTTGGATAAAGTAGTGGAGCCATGTGGATATGAGAAAAATTTAAACATACTTTTGTGTAAGGCATACGAGTACTCGATTAATCAAAGTTTTGACTTTTCCAAACATTCGAGTCGGCACGATCTTTCGTTGGGCCCTAAAATTCTTGTGCACCTATGATTCATTTCGTTCTATCAAAAGGCCTGTCTCATTTTTGTCATAATGTCAGGAAAATTAATCGAAACTTACGCTTTCAATTATTGGTGTAAATCGCGTGGATTGGCTAGGTAATTACAATGTTGTTGAAATATTGGCATGTCTTTCCTAGTTTTAAGTAAAATATATTAGTAATACGATATATGAGTCACATTAATAGTTAATTAAAATATGAGGTACACTCAATTTTTAAACTCAGAGGTCACGTGTGAATATCTTGGAACGAAGCAAGTTGAGTCGCTTCTAACTGATACCATTACCTTCCTATTTGAACGATCATTTAAAAATCATACCTACACGCGTAGGATGGTGGCAACTGATTAAGCATGTGAGAATGAAAATTGCCTCAAACTTATCAAAAAACCACGTAGAAAATTAATCTAGGGTCAAGAATCTCAAAGCAAGACTATTAGCGCACAACATGACAAAATCTTATCTCGACCTAATTTTTCGGATTCACGAGTAATAGAAAGGACATTAAACTGTGGTGGTGACGCATCCTATATCTTTGAGTTCTCGAAGTAATTTTTCGAATTCACGAGTAGTAGAAAGTACATTACACTGTGATGTTGACGCATCCTTTATCTTTAAGTATGCATATAGATTAGCGATCATTTTTAAACTCGCTTCACTTTGCAGCCGTCAGAAAACCCCTCAAGTATCCGAAATCTTCGAGTGCACACATTTGATTGCAGACGAGGAGACAAGAAAAGAGATGTACTAAATAAAATAAAATAAAAGAAATATTTCTTTGTCAGGATTGTTGCGGAAAATTGTAAAATACCCACGAGGTGTCAATACAATTAATTTCTCGAGTATTTGCTTAAACATTTTATTATATACCATCTCGCCCCACACAGTTCACACATTAAAAGTGGAAGATGGACTTTAAATTACACGTTTCATTATACGTGAAGATCCAGCTTAAAAAGTGACTAATTCGATACAGAGACGATACGTCATCGGCGTTTTTCGCATGAGCATAGCTTTAATTGGATTGTATTTTGCAAAAAGGAACCAAGAGTAATTCCAATGTCGCTAAGATTGTGCAACTTTTTTATCTTGCACATATAAACTGATCATCTAAACAAGTCAAATCTTTAATCTCAATAAACTATAAATTCATGACGAAAAACCTGTGTAAATTTAATTTTTTGCATGATTTCAGTAAATGCATTGCAAAAAATATAATTTGCACAATCCTGGCAACATAGAAATTCTCTCGGTTCCTTTTCGAAAAATACAATCCAATTGACGACGTTGCTATGCCCTAGCCATCAGCACGTGCGAACTTATGCGAGAAATAATTATTTCTTTGTGAGCATATTTTTAAGACTTGGCCCTGGCGTTTATACTCAAATGAAGATGAACTGCTCCTAATAAGCGAGCACATAAATCCGCTGCGGTAATTATGTTTTTTCTTTTGACTGTTGGTACTCAGCGCCGCTTCTGCGTTCTGCCACGTCGTTGTCGAATTTACGGGTGCAGTGACCACTGCAGAGACAAAGAGAGATCTTCGAAAGACCTCTTGTTGACAGGAGAAAATTTTTACTCTCGGAGATCCATCAAAATATATCCATGTACCAGCCATGTACCTTTTTATTGGCTGTTAATACCTCATTGTTGGCTAATGAGCTTCGAGCGATACAATGCGCTGAACAAGTTTAATCAACATCGACTTCTTTGCTGAAATAATAGCCGGACGCGTGCTCAACAACCTAGAATAAAGGTCAATAGCTGGATGTTGAAATCCTGAAAGTATAAACTTTCATCATTGCTGAGATAACAGTGGAGAGTATCTCCTTGTCTCTGGACCAATTTTAAGGGATCCATGACGTCGAAAACGGATTCGATGACATCTTTAGCGGGTTTTTATAAAATAAGTAACGCTGAGGAGAACGAGGGTGTAAGCCTGCGCGCGTAATCGGTGCGCTACAGGGGCGAGGGAGAGACAAGGGCTGCTTTACATAGCGTTGCAATCGGCGCGTAACGCCAATTATTCGAGAATCAAAGTAGAAAAGTGAAATATCAACGCAAAGTGGCACTTTTTCATCCAAACTTTTTCATAAAACGCCAACTAGATGGGGGGGGNGGGGGGGGGGAGTTAAGCAGAGCGTTACGAACTTCTCCTTAAGAATGTAAATCCTTGTGTTACGGGTGCGTCACGGAGGGAAGGGGTAAAAAATCAGTTTCCAGCTTTACGAATTTCATGACCGGACCGTAATGTCTCTTTTAAACGTGTATTAGGTTAACATAGTAAAACCAGAGATTGAACTAAAGTCCGTGTTTATTGGATGTACTAAAGAAAACCGTTTCCATTCAAAGAGGAGATCCACTTATAGGATCGGAGTTTTGTGGCTGGTTCAGGGCTAATTTCGTGTTCAAGAAGTATCATAAATGGACGTATTTAAATAAAAAGGAACTATCTGCATTGTGACCTGGGTCCTTAAACCCATAAGAATACATGCATACCTAACGTAGCCCATTTCACACTGGAGGTAGTTTTTTTTTTTTTTTTTTTTTTTTTTTTTTTTTTTTTTTTCTTTTTGCATGGTCCAAATGGAAGACTGGATGGTAGAGAAGCATGGCTCATCGTCAGTCTGGCGCAGACAGCAGTGCTCGCTCCAAGTTTTCGCATAGATGCAGCAGCGTGGCGTGAAGGATCGATTATCGATATCTCGCCATTTGAAGCTATGGCAAAGAATCGATTATTAAGGTGTTCGCTGCGAACACTCAGATAATCGATCTTTTTTCATAGGTTTGAGTGGCGAATCAATCGATTTATCGCAAAGCACGCCACGCCACTGATAGATGGACTTGTTTCACGTAATGCTGCCCCACGTGGGAATTACACTAGGTACGAGGGAGGTCTATCTGTAAGATAGATGAAAACCCGTAGCTGCCTCTTACCTTTTGGCACCATCAAAATATTGCATTGCTCTCGTTGGTAGTTTACCTGCTGAAGAGAATAAAATATGAAATGACGATTTTTAGTTGTGGTTGCATGTTGCCTATCCACTCAATTCAAGGCGTTAAAAATTATCGCAACTTTATTGAGATGAAGATGCAATGTCTTGGATAGTTACATGTTGCGTGTCTTTCTTGAAATGGGCCTGAAAATTACCTGCAATGATCATAGTGGTGGATTGGAAAATGTTCCTATAGTATTTCAATTTCAAGGCGATATATTTCCACAAGTATGCGTCATAATAAATACCAAAGCTGCACCGTCACCAATACACCCATCCATGATTCTCTGCAAGTACTCACGACACGTGTAGAGTAACTTTATGAAGAGAGTATAATATGTGGATACTGGGTCCCATCGTGTTTATTAGTGTGTATTTCATAATCATCTTTAAAATATATGACTTGATGTTACAGTGTTTTAGCCAACCTATGTACTTCTCCTTCCAGGATAGTGGATTTTAGCCGAAAATAGACTATAAGACGAAGTGCAATTTTAAGCACTATAATTTGTGTAATTTCTTTAAAATTTCTAGTGAACAACGATTTGCACAACGAAAATTACTGAAAGTAACTTCTGACCAAGATATTACCGTTTTTCGGTACATTAATTTAAACTTCCCGCCCAGAAAAAACCCATAATCTACTCGAGATGATTCGCACTTTATATGTTATCGTGACAGTCTTCACAGTGTGGAAATATGACAGCCTCAATATTGGCATTTCGGCTCAGCTATTACATGCTGACTACACTTTGAACGACACAGAGTTGGGCAAAGAACATTGCTTATTGAGGCGCCTGACAAAACCATTAATGAGCGGTTTGATTCAAATAGACCATGATTTTTCATTTGATCGGGAAATTCAAATTTTTTGTGACCTCCGTATGCCAAAATGAAAGTAATTTTATTGATCGGAAGTTGTTTTTAGCAAGTTTCGTTGCACAGATCGTGTTCTATGTGAAATTTTGAAGATTTGAAGATTTATCAGAACTCATAAATTCGACCCTTGTCTGGTGATAGATTCTTGGGAACGGGAGAGTTCCAAGATAGATCCCCGCCCTCTGTAGCCCAAGCTGGTTAAGCCAATCAAAAACGGATACCGCAGTGTCGATACTTTCCCTGTAGAGGTACTCTAATGGTCGCGAGTGGGTTTGATTGACTTTTTCGACCAAATCCTAATTAATAACTTTTTTTTCGACCCAATCCACGAGCAACCGAATTTTTTTGTTGTTGAGCTCAATCGCAACCGCCGGTGTCTGAACCAAATCCGAAATTTCTCGACTCACCTCTGGACTTCTGGAGGTAGATCGAGAGGCGGATAGGGGTAAACGGTTTCACCACGGTTCAGAAACCTCGAGAAGCAACCAATTTTTCCAAAATGGCTTTATTCCACGACAATTACGGTCAGGTGATGGTGATGTGGCAACGTGAAAGAAGTGCACATATTTTTGTGTATTTGTATTGAAATTCGTTTACATCGGAGAATAAGTCGTGTTGCATTGGCCGAGCCGATTGGCGAGCTTCTTGAACCTAACCCGAGATTTGGCTCGTTTTCTTCAGGATTTGGTTGACAATTAGATACACGATTCTGATTGGTCCAAGTTACAACGGTGATTCGACAGTCATCATTCAAAAAAATTAACCGAATTCAGTCGCGAGAATTCACCCTAGGTCTGTGACGGAAACGTTGACACACTAATTCACGGCGGCAACGGAGCTCCGTCTAGAAGCGGTGTGACCTGGACGGGGTCTCTTTTGTTGCTGCTTCGCAACATTAAATCATAATTAATTGAGAGTTTTCACTTGATTTACGGCGCCACGCAAACCGAGCTTGGTTTCCCGATGCTCCAGCCTCCCCCCCCCCCCCCCCCCCCCNTTTTTCTTCGCCCCGGTCATTATCTTGACGTGGGACTCGCCGCATTTTCCAGCATAATTTTTAATTATTTTTCGTTTTAATTGCACGCCTTTTCGAGCTCGACCCAGTCTCGCCAACCCCCAGCTCGGGGGATTCCGCGAATTTTCCGCGCCGATTTAGAGCGAGACCGAGGAATTCTTTCTGTCCGTACAATTCGGAAATCTAGTTACGTTTTATTGAAACCGCCGTTAATGTGGTAGTTCTCAGTTTTGACGTCGAGTCAACGGGACGATCTTTGGGAGTGCGATATACATTATACATGCCTCAAGTTTGGCCAAAAACTCGTCGATATTTGCTCATTTGAAGAACACTATGCCAATGAATCATTTGCGAGTGACTCGATTTGCTTTTGGGCTAGAAGAGCAATAGCTGCTCTTGAGCTCGTGAGTATTTTCATTTGACAAGAGAAGGCTC